GGAAAAGGTTAAGTGGATAGGACTTTATTTTCATTTCAATTAGAATAAATTTGTCAAATTTTTTGATCCTGTCAAATTATTACGTACTGAAGTTGTTGAATTAACTGGTAAATATTAAAGTTGATCATTTAGCATTGATAATTGAGTCTTCATTTTTTAAAGGTTTAACTAATCGTATGTTAATGGATTATGCACCGTTTAATCGTGAAACAGTAATTGCGATGGAAGCATTTTTAAGTGATCTTCAAAAACCAATGTGTTTTGTTGGTAAGATAATATTCTATAAATAGATAGTATATTTATTATTATCGTAGTTGACATGTTATAAGAAAAATATATTTCTTTGTATTTAGCTCATAATGGAAATTTATTTGATTTTCCAATTTTACTCAATGAAATTCGATCTGCACTTTCTGGTCCTAGATTTTGTGTTGATAATAATAATGAATGTAATGGTGAATTAACTACAACTGATAATATTTCATCTCCTACAAAAGATGCGTCTATACAAACAATATCGTCAAGTAATGATCATAATCAAACATCATTATTATCTATTGATTGTGCTGATTCACTTGTTTTCTTTCGTCAAATATATCGATTACTTAATGATAAAGATGCTGTTCAGTATCCAAATGAAAACATTCCATCACAATCTCCAATTACATCTAATCAAAATGAATGTAATAACAACGGAACAGTTGATCCTATTGACTCAAATTTAACTCCAACCATATCTGTGAATAATAATAATACTAATCATTCATCTTCTCATCCTGGATATGTTGAAATACCTATCAAATATATTCCTTCACAAGATCCGGCACGACAACAATTATCAATGAAACTTGTTAAAATCTATGAACGAGAATTTAATGAAAATTCATCGCATTTAAGATCTCATCGAGCTGAAGATGATTGTTTGATGCTTTTAGCTATTTTAAATCGTTATCTACCCGATTGGCTTGAATGGATAGATTTAAATCATCAACCATTAAATCATTTTTCTTCTTTACCATTAACAACTACAACAACTGCAACAAGAAAACCTTTACCAAAAACTAATGTACATACAAAAAGACCATTGAAATTTTAAATATAAAGAGAATATTAGTTTGTACTATTTCTTTACTTTTATTACGCTTGATTTCATTATTTTGATTTTAATTTGAGTCATTCAATCAGAATAATATTCAATAATTATTTTAAATCGATAGAAAAAAAAAGTGTTGATCGGAAAGAAAACGACAACATATTGTTAAGATCGAAAAGAGAAGTTCCGACTAACAGCTTCCTCTCGTTCTTTCAGTCTTTTTCTACTTTTTTATGCGCTCTTAATTACGCTTCTTACAACCGTGTCAAGGCTTTTCTCTCTTACTTTTCCATACACTCGTCATGTTTTATTTTATAACGTATTAGCAGACGAAGTTATGACGCATTCAAATCTGAAGTCGTTTTTCTCATTTTCTCTTCACGTCTTTTTTACATTTATTATTTGTTATTTTTCTTTCTCTCTCTCTCTCTCGTTTTTTTACTTTTTTCGTCAATCTATTCTTTGTCTGGGTAAAATCTTTTACCAACGTATTCATCTATTTATTCTTAGCATTTAAAAGAAAAAATTCTTATCGATCACTAAAATCATTTCTTTTTCCCAATGAGTTCAGCTATGGAAAATAATATTTTATTAAAAACGGATTCATATAAAATTTCACACCATAAACAATATCCACCGGAAACAACAGTTGTATATGCATATTTGGAAAGTCGTGGTGGTGATTATCCTGAACAAGTTTTCTTTGGTTTACAATATATATTAAAAAAACATTTAGCCGGACAAGTTGTTACAAGAGAATATTTAGAACAAGGAATAGATTTTTGGCATAAACATTTTGGTTATGATATTGTTAATCGAGAAATGTGGGAATATATTATTGAAAAATATGATGGATATTTACCAATACGTATTAAAGCTGTACCAGAAGGTACAGTTGTACCAACTGGAAATGTTTTAATGACTATTGAAAATACGGATCCAAAATGTTCATCATTAACAACATTTTTAGAAACGATTTTATTACAAATTTGGTATCCAATTACAATTGCTACAAATTCCAGAGAAATTAAAAAGATTTTAGTAAATATTACATTAATGAGAAAAGTCAACAAAAAAATGCATTCTTATCTTATTTAGTTACGATCATTAGTAAAAACAGGTGATCCATCTGTAATTAAAGGGCAATTACATGATTTTGGATTTCGTGGTGTATCATCATATGAAACATCAGCAAGTAAGTTTATTAATCCCTACATAAATATTCATTTATTTTGTTTTTAAAACATTTTAGTTGGTTCATGTGCACATTTGACATCATTTTCTGGCACTGATACAATCTCTGGTTGTGTTCTAGCTCATAATTTTTATTTAGCTGAGGAAATGATCGCATTTTCTATTCCGGCATCTGAACATTCAACAATGGTTAGTTGGACAAAAGAAAAAGAACGAGAAGCTTATGAAAATATACTGGGTTTGTTGGAATTACAAACTTAAAGATTTTTCTTATAAAAATCTTTTTTTGTTTTGCTACATAGATATGTATCCAAACGGTATTGTTGCATGTGTATCTGATTCGTATAATATTTATGATGCATGTGAACATATTTGGGGTACACAATTACATGATAAAATTCTTGAACGTGATGGAACATTGGTTATACGATCTGATTCTGGTAAAAATTTTGAAAAGAAATTTTTTTGTCTATTTTTAATTGCTTAATCTTCTTTATTTATACTAGGTGATCCAATAGAAGTTTTAGAACGTTTATTAACTATCCTGTATGATAAATTTGGTGGAGCTGTTAATGAAAAAGGTTTTAAAGTTCTTGATAAACATATTCGATTAATTCAAGGTGATGGTGTTAATATGAAAGCGATTAAGGAAATTCTCGAATTACTCGAACGAATTGGTTTTGCTACTGATAATCTTATATTTGGCAGTGGTGGTATGTTTATTTTAAGTATTCTATTCATCGAAATTCTTGCTTTTATTCTAGGTGGACTCTTACAAAAATTTGATCGCGATACAATGAAATTTGCAATAAAATGTTCATTTGTTGAAATAACTGGTATTGGTGGTATAGCTGTTGCTAAAAATCCTATAACTGATGCAGGCAAACGTAATAAACCTGGCCGACTTAAATTAGTTAAAGATAATGATGATACTTATCGAACATTGAACAGCATAGATCATACTGAAGAATATGATGCCGCCGAAGATCAGTTGGTAACAGTTTTTGAAAATGGCAAAATTTTATGTGAATATACATTTGATACAATACGTGCCAACTGTGATATCGATATTGATCGACTTGATTCTATTAATTTTATGTAGAATGATTTTATTTTAGTGATAATTTTAATTTTAACCTTAACATTTTGTAATTCCATTTACGTTTGTGTGTGTGTGTGTGTATTTATCTTTTGATTTCTTCATTTTGGAGAAAACTTGTCACATCTTTTTATGTTGTCAGTATATTTTAAATTTAGATGATGATAATGATAAAATTTTCCTCAAATATTCATTCATTTATTTTTTTCTAGAAGCTTATTAGAAGAAACATGACTGAGAAAGATAAAGATGAAGTAGCTCTTCAACGTTTTGTTGAATATATTCAAATAAAAACAGTTCAACCTGAACCTGATTATGATAGTGCAATGAAATTTTTGAAAAATTATGCACAAGAATTGGGTTTAGAATATCGTGCAGTAACATTAGATGAAAGTCGACAAGCATGTCTGTTAACTGTAAAGTATTTTCAATTGCATTATTAAAAAATGAATATATAAATTTTATAGTGGCCATCAAAATCATCAACAGAAACATCAATTGTACTTAATTCACATATTGATGTAGTACCTGTTTTTGAAGAACATTGGATGGTTCCACCATTTTCCGGTGAAATTCGAGATGGAAAAATTTATGGACGTGGTACGCAAGATATGAAATGGTAAATTTGAATTCAACTAATGAGTTTAGTGCATACTTTATTTAAACAATATTTCTTTGTTGTAGCGTTGGAATTCAATATTTAGAAGCTATCCGACGTCTTAAAGCTGCTAAATATGAACCTAAACGAACGATTCATTGCTTGTTTGTTCCCGATGAAGAAATCGGTGGTGTACGTGGCATGGGAAAATTTATAACACTTGATGAATGTAAAGCTTTAAATATTGGCTTTGTTCTTGATGAAGGTAAATCAAAGAAAAAAAATTGAAATTTTAAAATTATTGTTTTCTTTTAAATAGGTTTGGCTAGTGAAACAGATGTCTTTCAAGTTTATTATGGTGATCGTTCTGTACTTTGGATACAATTTTTAGTTAAAGGTAAAACTGGTCATGGATCACGACTTATTGAAAATACAGCTGCTGAAAAAGCACAATTTATTCTTAATGAAATGTTAAAATTTCGTGCTAATGAAAAAGAATGCTTAGAAAAAAGTGAAGCAACGGATAACCTCATTCAATTAGGTAATGTAACAACAGTTAATTTAACAAAATTAACTGGTGGTGTTCAACAAAACGTTGTACCTGATCAATATTCACTTTATTTTGATTGTCGTATTAAACCTGATGGTTATGATGCTTTTAAGGAATTTTTACATGATGTTATTAAACGAACACCAAAAGAAAATGATGATGAAGTAATACTTCATTATGTACAAGATAGTGGACGAGTCTGTATTACTGATGTTGAAAAACCATCATGGTGGCTTAATAGTTTTAAACGAACATGTGAACAAATGAAATGTAAAACAAATTGGACTGTTTTTCCAGCTGCAACTGATGGTAGATATTTACGTGGTGAAGGTTATCCAGCAATTGGCTTTTCACCAATGATAAATACACCTATTCTTTTACATGATCATAATGAATATTTACATAAAGATGTATTTCTTCATGGAATTGAAATTTATGTTAAATTAATTGAAAATCTTACGAATGGTAAATCAGCATAGTATAAGAAACATTGAATAAAATTCAGAACAATCTACCTTTACTATCTGAAAATCTATGTGATATGATTTTTTTTATTGATTTTTTTTTAAATTTTGATTGAATAAACCGTTCCGTGTGATTTTTATATATTCTATATTGGTAAAGATAATAAAGTAGCCCGATGATTTTAAACAAAAGTTAAATTTTTCTATTTACACATAACCTTTAATACAAGTAAATAGTCTACACAATATTACTAAACTTTTATTTTAGATCTTATCTATTTTTGTTAAATTATCTTCTTACACTATTAGTCAAATATGGTCGTTGCAGTGTAAGTAAAATAAATTTTTATCTCGCATAGGCCAGGACCGGCCAAGTACGAACTTTCTCAAGTACGAGTACGAGTTCGAGTTCGAGTTCGAGTACCGACCTTTCGAGTATGAGTGCGGGTTCGAGTTCGAGTACGAATACCATTAGATTATATTAGAGTTGATTATGACCTTCTGAAATAGCTAATAGGAAAACTAGACTTTTAGTTGTATAACATAATATGTACATATTTCCAAAGTACACGAAACATACGCATGTTTTTATAAACATAATTACCTAAAATTTGAAAAAATATATTATCGAGTACCAGTGTTAAATCTTCGAGTTCGAGTATTTTGCTAAGCTCTGACATAGACATTCACAATTAAAATGTTAGCTATTAAAATAATCTTAATTGTTCTTCATTTTATTTTGTATAGTGTTATTCAATTACCAAGTGGTTCATTTAAATCACCAGCTGAAGCAGCTGAAAGTTATTTAGAAAAATTAGAAAAAGGTGGTGCCAAAAAAACTCGTCCATTTCAAGTTGATCTAGTCAGTTATAGTCCATGTATGTTATTTCATATGAAATTTTTTTCTTCTATTTGTTTCTAAAAAAATGTTTTTTCAGCAATAACAAATTCTAAAACAGTTCATGTTCTATCTCATTCGGAATATCCAGCATCATCATTTGCATTTGCTGAACAATCTAATAGTCAAATGCTTGTTGCTGATAATACATTTATTGCATTAATGAATAAATTAAAAACATTACGTGCATTTGAAACACGTTTACCAAAAATGGAAGCACGTGGTACACGATTAGAATATCAAGATTTTGTTATTAATCTTGGAACTGTTAGTCAATCACAAACAACCAAAGGATTAGTTCTTGAGGTAAATATTATTTATCCTCTTCGAATTATTTGAAATATATATATATATAGGTCGCATATGTTCCAATGGATGAAACTCGTGATGGTTATTGTTTAATTCAAGAATTTTTACAATCATTTCTTAATATGCCAAAACAAATGATACAAAAATTAATCACTGAACAATTAAGTCATTGGATACGATCACTTAAAGATAAAAAAGATGCAGAATATACACCATCCATAACTTTATTGCAATATATGGATATTCTCATTCATATGAGAAAACAACCTAATGAATAAATATGTATATAGGAATATTTCTACTGAATTTTTTTTTCTTTTTCTTTTCATAAATTTTTTGTGAGAGAGAAAAAACAGACACATTAAACAAGAGTAACTCGATAAAAAAAGCAATTTAAAGATGCTGGTTACATAAAATATTTGGTGTTTTGTTTTATTGTTAAGGGATTTTGTTTACCGGAAGAATCGGCTTGAATGAAAAAAAGAATAATAGAAAAGATAAATTAATAAAGCGAAATGGACAAATTTTGCACTTATACAAGAAGAAATATTAGGAACAAGAAAACAAAAATGAACAAAGGCACCATTCGAGGGAGCTAAACGAACAGGAGTTCAATTAACAATTCACACAAAACAATCATAATGACTTTTAACAAACAAAAAACGAAAATTCTTTCATTTGCGATATTACATAAACAAATAAGAATAAAAAAAACAAACAAACAGAAAAGAAAAATGCATTAAAAACATAAACTGTTGTTAAATAAAATAGTTTCTGATTATCAGATGATAATCAAAAAGAAAGAAAGAAAGAAAGCAAAATAAAAGATGTACTTAAACGAAACAAAACAAAATAAAAATTTAAGTAACAACAAGCAGAAAAGAGAATACTTTTTAATTTGTGAAGATCAATTGCCAAAAGAAAAACAAAATATTATGCTATTTTGCTTTCATACGATGTCAGTAATGAGTGGAATGAAGAGTGAAATACAAATAGACAAAAATAAAACTACATAAACAAGATTAAAATATCATAATCCATCGTATATCTGAAAAAAAGAAACTCTTGACATTGAAATTGCTGCTTTGTTTTTTTTTTCTTCTTCTTTTATTCACAACTCTCTTAATCGTCGAGATTTATGTCGTGTTGAATAACGTAGTGATATATCTGTACCGACTTCATCTATTGCCATTAGAGCCTAATAGATAGATTTATATTATAGATTAAGAAAAACTAATCATGTAAATTATATAATTCACTTACAGTGTCAAGCATCTGTCGAGTATGTGCCGCTGATATACAAAATCGAACTCGAGCATCTAATAATTTTGTTGCGGGAAATCCAACAGTAACAACAGCAACACCACGACGAAGCATTTCTCGATTAAACCGAGTTACTCGTGCAGGCATATAAATTAACATAGGAACAACAGGTGAATTTTTATTTCCAAATACAATAAAACCCATATCGACTAATTTCTGTCGAAAATAACGTGTATTGTCAGCAAGTTGACAAATACGTCTTTTACCTTGAAAAAAATTTTTATTTTTATTTTCTGTTTTTTAAATATTTGATTATTTTTACCTTCTGGACATTTAAGAAGTTTAAGAGAAGACATTATTTGTTGTACTAGTGGTGCTGACATACTTGAAGCATAAGTATTAGCATGAGAAGTCACACGAATATGATCAATAAGTGACTAGAATGAAAAAACAAGAAAACATGAATGACTTTTCAAAATAATTATAAGTGTCTAGTAATGTTTAGAAATGAATTATTTAGAAGAAAATTAGTCAAGCGTTTTTATTTACAACTGCTCAGTTTTCTAGAAAGAACAACAACAAGCTTATCATTTTTGCAATGCTGTTAAAAACATACGCTTATTATTTTAAAATCATATAGAATGCGTAAATATTGTACATTCATTCTACCATGTAAAATTTAAGACGATCGATCATCTATTCAATGGATTTTATCTACCTTTTTCCCCGCAATATAACCACCAGCTGAACCAAAACTTTTTGTAAATGTTCCCATTAAAATATCCACCTCATTTGCATCAACACCGAAATAATCTACAATTCCACGACCTTGTTTACCCATTGCACCAATTGAATGTGCTTCATCCATATATAAATAGGCTTTATATTTTTTTTTTAATTGCATTAATTCTGGCAATCGACAAATTGAACCTTCCATACTATACGAGAGAAAAAATAATATATATATATATATAAATATGTCGATTTTATTTGTCAAATAGTAAAATTAGTTTTTGACAAAGACAGATTATGTACACTCTACACATCGTGTCAGATAAAAGCTTTGAAGTTTTATTCATTAATACATATATATGTATATATATTGTAATTAAAGATGGAACACATGCAAAGTTCAACCTACCAATGCAAGTATTAATTTATTTAACTCACTACAATACGATTTTGTATTATTAATAATTTCAAAAAATAAAATCTTCGAATTAACAAACCTATAGACACCTTCAACAACGATAATAATTTTTTTCCATGGTCGATTAGTACGTGGATGACCATGAACAATAGCCGCTCGTAATTTTTTTTCCAAATCTTTCATATCTTTTATTTAAAAATAGATAAGATAATTAGTATTATTTCTAATTAATAATTTACCATTATGTGCAAATGTTTGATAAGTAGCACCTGATAAACGCATGCCTAGGATGAGTGAAACATGATTCATTTCATCACTTAAGATTAAATCTCCCTGAAAGAAAGAAAAAACAAAAAAGTTAAATAACACTTGAAGATGGACTTTTGTTTTTACTTTAGACGCCAAAGCGGGCAAATTAAGTGCATTGGTTGCAAAACCCTGAAAAATAGAATTTAAAAAAAAACAAAATTGTTTTTTTGTTATTAATTCAAAAAGTACGAACCATTCCAAAGGCAATCGAACTTTCAACATGAAGAAAATCTGCAAGCAATCGTTCAAGTTCAACATGATACCGCTGTGTACCTTTAAAAAAAAAGAAAAAAAAACTTCGACATTCCGATAAAGAAAAATAATATTTTAACAACATGCGTAAAATTGTCTAAAGCTATTGAATTACTAATTTTTTTTTATTGTCTCAAAGGTTATTGACACCATCAAATAGAATTTCAAATGTCTCTAACATGTCTTTTTCTATCCGAAGAAAAAGGTCAAATTGCTTTATAAAAATCTATAGGCGTTTATGTATATTATCGTAGTTGACTTAGATAGCTTATATAATAACCTATTGCTATTCTTTTATATTGATATTGATCGATAAAGGTAAAAAAACAAAATGATTAATTGTACTATCAAACACGATATAGAATATATATTCTTTTTAAATGAATGATTATGTCAAGAACAGAAAAGAAAAGAAAAATACGAAGACTTATGAATGAATCATTTATATATGTTTGCGTTTTGATCTATTAATAAGGTAAACATACCTAATTCAATTCTTGAATTACAATTACCAACACCAAATGTTTTAATTGCATTAATAGCATCTGTAGCGCATGGACCTGATTTTTCAGCGAAACCCAAATAATTATACGATCCTAAATTGATAGCATTTATTGTTTTTCCAGTATATCTTTTATAATAGAAATAAATATTAGATATAAATGCGAGAATTTTGTGTTTCAGAAAACTACCTATATGTCCAATTATAATCATCTGAAATACGTTCAGTTAATTCAAATTGTGCACCAGGTACACTAGCAATTGGTCGATTAAAAATATCGCGTACACGTGTGTACATATTTCGTGTATAAAATGATTCATAACTTTGATACAAAGGTACGAAACCCTAATAGAAGGATAAAAACAGAAAAACAATGAGTATATTACGATTGAAAAAATAAACGTACTAATGTAGCATTTGGATCAAGAGCACCGCGTTTTTTTTCAATGTGTGAATCTCGAAGAAAGTCTCGTAACCAACCAAACAAACAAAGTATAGCATAACTTAAATAAGTTAAAATAGCGGCATATAATGGTGTCTCTTCAAATTCTTCCGATTGTAGGTTTTCATCGTCATGTTTATACTCAATTTCAGTGTTATGATTGGTTGATTTTATGTCTTCATCGCTCTAATTAAATAAGAATTTAATGAAAAATAGTAAGAAAAAAACAAAATATTAAATGAATGAAACTTACTGATGATGAACAAATATTATCTACCATTTCTTCTTCTGAGTAAAGTTTTGATGGTGGATGACGATGCTAGAATCAAAAAGAAAGTGAAGATAATCAAATGTGGACTATGATATATATGACGATGAATCAATATCTTCTCTAATGTATGTGTATCAAACATAAATATTTAGTCTGTAGACAAAAGTAACAACGAAAAAAAAAAAGATAGAAGTGAAGGTGGCAGGGGAGTCAAAGACAATAAAAAAAAATAGATGTTTTTTTTAAGGAAATAGAATGATAGGATATGTAGAATATATTTGAAAGAAGTTAGTGATCATATTTTGATTAACTTACAACGATCGTAACATGGCATGGCTTGGATGGTGCAGCCAGCATTGGTCTAAAATAAACAACAAAATACAATTATGACTCATTCATCATGGCGAGATGTTCCATCCCAGAATCGGACCATATTTATAACAGCCGTTATTATTGCCTTTTTTTCTTATCAAGTGAATTACGCAGTGACGAAAAAAAAAGAGAACACGTCAAATAGAATCAACTCGAAAAGAAAAGAATTTGTTCCGTTCTTTTCCATCAGTATATTAAAATTTTTTTATTTTGTTCTGCTTTACTCCTTTTAAATAAGAAAAAAACAGATACAAGATAGTAGTGATAGCAAAAATGAATCATTTAAAAAAAACAAGACAAAAAAAAGCCGAAAGAAAAAAAAGACAACATTATCTATTTGTTTTATTCAATAGAGGTCGTACTTATTTAAAGACAAATATGGTTTTCTGATTAGTTTAGATTTTGATCCATTGAAAATACAAGAGTACTTTCTTTTCCTTAATTCCGATACTCATCCGGTCATTAGCTATACTATCGGTCATGCTCTGGGGTAAATTTTCAAGAAGTAAAAGAAAATAGATTTGAAACATTTTTTTCTTCCTCAAATTAGATTCATCATTGATCAAACAAGAATCATCACTTATTCTTGATAATATGAATAATAATGGTGAATTACAATCAATACCAACAACAAATACATCATTTATCGATCGATATCATACTGATTTAGAAACAATGATTGATTCATTTGTTACATCAGTTGATAGTCTATCATCAATTCGACCATCAACAATAAAACAACGACGGATTATATCACCATTAAAATATCCACGTCGTGTAGCATCAAACTCATCATCATCATCATCATTGATTACATTTGATCGTGATCCAGCAGCTACAGAAACAACCGAGCATTTAACAGATGAACTTCGATGGTTATTAATTCAATATGGACCACATCAACCACGTGATGATGATGAACAATTTTTAGCAAGTGCAGTAGCAACATCTAATGGAAAAGGAACTATACGTTTTCGTGGAAAATGGTTCGATGATCCACGTTTTTCTGATTGGCTTGAATATTCATTAACAACTGGTCGTGCTTATTGTTTTTATTGTCGTTTATTTGTTGAATCAAATCGAAATCGTGCTTTTTCACGTGATGGTAATTTTTTCGATTGAAAAAAACAATTACAGATTTTTTATCTTGATCGTTCTAGGTATTAAAAATTGGCGTAAATGTTTAGGATCACGTGGTCAGAAAAAGAAACGTCCAACACGAACGTCTAACTCTACTGAAGATTTAATAATATGTCAAAGACGTGGTTTATTAGAATCCCATGCAATGTCAGAAGCTCATAAACAATCTTATACAAAATATCTTGCATTCATTAATCGAATGCATTTTGATACAGAATCTACTGAAAATAATAAAAGTAAACAATCAGGTAAATATAAAATTTAAATCTATCTTATTCAGAACAAAACCTATTTCTTACGCGATATATTCGGAACATTTGAAATTTTCTGGATATATTATGGTTATAGTAGAAAGGAGAAAGTAAAATTATTAGTCCAGGCATGAATAGAGAAAAAATAGTATATTTAACAACGCAAATTGCGCTATCCAGATTTAATTTATATATTAAATATTTTTTTTGCTTGACGAAGCATGTCAGGGTGCAAAGATTACCAGAATGTTTTTTTTCTAATTTGAGTGAAAGAAAACATTAAATTCAATGTTTGAAAAAAACTGTCACAAAATGTGAGTTTTTTTATAGAAATGTTTTTTGAAAGAACGCATTCATAGATACTATAAATATACATACCCTTTTAAACAAAAGCAAATGTATAAACAGATAGTGAAATCTACAATGTATAAATCAGACATGATGATGCTATTTCAATAGACAGATTAAATTGAAATACTCATCAACTGCTAAGCATCTTCTTGAATTGTATATAAATAAAATTCGTTCAAGATTTATTCTCCTTCATTATATAAGTAGTATTATATTTCATAATATAATTATAGAAGAGTGGATTGAAAATCTTTGAGTACAATAAACTCTTTGTCGCTTTAGCACTCTTTTAATTACAAGTTATATTCATGATGAATATGTTGCTCTGTTGGATGTATTACAATAATTGACATGATTTTTAAAAGAACGTAAAAGAAAAAACAACAATAAATGTAATAGATAGCAAATTTAATACTATTTTCAATGTTCTTCTTCTTCGATATCTTATAAACTTATATATAAAGACTTGTGTTTATCTATTTCTTAATAATCGTAGAATTCTAGGCAAAATATCTCAAAATGATTTTATGTAATGCAAATAATTCGCATTTCTAGGCAAAAAATAATTGCAGCTTTAGTTCCCAAGTGAAAGTTCATATTAACATTTATGTTGTTTCTGAATGAGCAGAAATCGCATTAGTTTCATATGCATAAACATATGAATTATAGATATTTAATGCAAGGAATCCAAATTAGAGAGACAAAAACAAGATGCTTCAGAAACTTTATTAAATATTTTCATTTATTCGAGATTAATCCTGACAGTCGGATATGATGACCGCCTAAAAGTTTTTATTATCAATAGTCTCTAGGCAAGATTAAGAAATATGATAAAGGCTTGAAAGTCATAATGTTCTAATACTAAAAGTAATATTGTATGATTATATATCGCTCGTAGGATGTTTAGACTAAAAGGAAAATATAATTTGTCTGCATTAATAAATGAAGTCTGCAAATATGAAATTAAACTAACATGTCAAAGTTCTTTTCAGGACAGAATGCAAAATCTTCCAGACTATAATAGCAATTTCGTATTTAAAAATTTTATTTATTTTTTTTAGATAATTCTATTAATGTAATGAATGTACCTGAACAAATGAAACATGAGAATAATATATGATTGGCAACGATATTCTTTTGTTTTGCAGTTTTGTAGTTTTTTCTAGCATCTGTTGTATATATTTATCGACTTTTGTTTTTTTTTGTATTTGAAATCGATAGTGTACCAGATATCAATGATGAATTTTGAACTGAATATGATTGTTTTTTTTTGCAATATGTCGGATATATGTTTTTATTGTTGTTTTTTTTTGTGAATAAATAGTATTAAAAAATCAGCATTGTCTACATTCGTATTATGAACTATTCGAAATGAAATATATCAAATTTTCATTATTATTCTTGAATTTTTTAATACAAAACAGGATTATTTGATAAGGAAGAATAAAACAATCGATCATTTTATTATAGGATATTTGAAAAATATTTTCTTACTACAAATAGATTATTTCTAGGGTTTAAAAATAAATCATATGTTGTCATATTTAAATAAATGTAAATTTTAATTCAAAATCAATAATTACTATTAGTTTTTCATCATTTTAAATTGTTGTATTAAAAGATATGTATTGACATATTGTAATTGAGAATGATGATATTATTGTAATGATGTATTTATAGCTTGATAAATATATTTTATAAATTGACAAACAATTGTAGGCTGTATATTAATAAGTAATTGAACTGCACACAAAATCAACTAAAGATAATGATATTTTTCAAATACAAAAAATATTAAATAGCAAAAATTGTCTAAAGTTCTTGAGTGATTAGAAATACTTTATCAAAGTTTCAAATGTCATAATCGCTGAAAAGACTTGAATGTATTAATCGGAGATATCAATGAATGACTGAAAGCGGTCTTTAAAAATTTCTGAGCAGTGCGTTTTATTACATTCTATACCTGCGTGATACAACAAAAATTTCCTAACGCTTTACCCCAATGTAAATATACTGTAGAAAAGATTATTTTATTGAAAAATGCCTTTATATATTTCATCATATAATGTAACAATTTTCAGAACTACATGTATGATAAAAATTTGAGTAAAAACGAGTAAAATTTGAATTTTTAGAAAAAGACCCATGTTTTTTTGCAATATACAGGAAAACTGTTCACAACATGTTTGTTTTTATCAATTTGTTACTCGCTCGATGGGTTTTGTTTTGAATACCTTCCCGCTTCTTCTAGTGATAAACAGAGGGAGAAAATTAACAGACAAGGTGAGTCTACATAAATGAGTAAGTGTCTGTAATTAGGTATCTGAAGCGAATAGACGTTAATAGAAGAAGAAAGAAATACAAAAATTATATTATTCGAAAAAGTGTTTCAGGTTGTACAAAATGGACTATTCATTATATTTTTTCTTTTTTCATATTAAAACAATGTCGACTTTGTAGCGTATATCCATAGAAAATTCTATTTTTTCACAGCGTAAGCTAGAGAACTGAAATTTCGCGTGGCAGTAGAATCCACAGAGACTAACAAAATATAAAAAATTCTTCAAATCGGTCTAATAGAACAAAAGTTATTTTCGATATATAACTAAAATCTTAATCGCACCAAAAAGTTGCAATCCACTCATATATATATATTTTACCGACTATGAGAATTTCGAAAAAAAGGCAGACAGACAACATGCTTGTAACTTTTTAAACAAGATATCTAGAGTCCCGCGACCTTCACTATTCGAGAGAAGGTATTGGTCATGTTCCGTGGCCCATTCTCTCTAATAATAAAGGTCACAGAACTCTAGCTATTTTGATTAAAACACTATAAACATTTTGCCAGAATGCATTTTTTTAAAATACGATTTCTAATTATTGTGAAATTACTAATTTTTATTAAAGTAAACTTATTTTCAATTCTATGAATGATTAGTCTGTCGTGTGAATATTAATGAATTTCTTTTTATTTGATTACTTTTCTTTGTTCACATTCTTTAACCTATATTTATTAACATCATTCACACATCTTTTTATTATCAATGTCAGTATTTAATTATTTACACAATGATAAAAAGTCAATTTAATTATAGAATGCTAAAATTATACAGAACTAAGAATAGATAGTCAAATGTTTTTGACTATTACTATTTTATATTTTTTGAAAGAATGATAGTTTAGAAGAATCTCAAGGACACACACTATTTATCTTGTAGATAAATCATTAATACACATTTTTCTCTATCTATTTCGACAACAAAAACCTGTAGTTTTGTTATCTTCAGTCTCGCTCTCTCTCTCTTACGAAAAAAAAAATGCTTAAAGGTATATCTTATATACTTGTGGTAAGATCTTTTGCATAGTTTTCATTCTTTTTCTTGTCTTGGTGTGGTTATCAACATTTGTTTGAAAAAAAACGAAGATTTAAACGGAAGAAAAATGGATGACCGTATTCTTAAAAATGTTGCTCAAGCGAATCAAATTTTTAAAGAAAATTTTCGATCACAAACAGCACAAAACAATGATAAAGCATATCTTCTTCATCTTAATCAAGAATTAAGACGCTGGACAGTAAATACAGATGAATTGATGAGAGAGATTATTGAAGAAAAAACTGATGAAATAAAACGTATTTATGAACAATTTACAGCAGAATATAATCAAAAATATGAAACATTCAAACAACAATTACAAAATACTCGTTCGTTATCTGATTCAAACGATCAAATTGAAGAGTTTAATATTTATTGTCGATCAAATACAATTCAAAATCGTTTACGTTTAATTATACAACAAGTTGCAAAAAATGAATTAGCCGAAAAAATTCAACTTGAATATTTGCCATATCGTGGTGTAATACGAGACAAACCAATTAAACCATCAGAAACACCGATTTATATTAAACATGAACCAATTATTCGTAGTCGTTCATCATCAATAACATCATCAATTCCAGTATCAACAAAAGTAATACATAAACAATATACTTCAGATCAAAATATTCATAAAAATGGATCGATGTTAAAACCAATACAAGATCCTTTGAATAGAGAACCATCTTATTCTAAAATTAAATCAACAAAAATAACAACAACAACGTTAGCAGACGATAATCTTCGACAAGGTTCAACTCAATTTTTCGTTGGCAGTCATCATAATTTAACTCCTATTCTTGTTGATAGAAATCGTGACCTTTACAATAAGGATGAACAAATAACGGAATACTCTATTGATTCTATAGCAATGCCATATAATGAACAGAATCAATCTGACCGTATGAATCTTAATACAGATAATGATATAACGGTAGTGACTGCTTATAAAGTTCTTATAGAAAAGGAAAATGATCGTCAACAACAACAACGATCAATATCGAATTACGAAGGCGAAGACTCAAATTTTCTTAATGTATTTAATTTACGAAAATTAAATCAAATTAATTATTCAACAATAATGTTTCGAGAATGTGAAACGGAATATAATTGTATAGCTAGTTCAACAAAACGAAATGAATTAGTCGTATATAATTCAAAATTAAAGGTTATAATTATTTTACAACATGAAAATTATCAACAATGTCGTCATCGATTCTATTTACATTGGCCAAAAGAATTTAGTCCAAGAATATCTGATATAACATATAGTGAAAGTAGTGATAAATTTTTAATTACAACATGGGATAGTTGTCATATATATTTATTTGATCGTGATTTATTATCTATTATCAACTTCGGTTGTTTACCAAAAGGTGCAAAAACTGCAGAAGAGGCAACATTACGTCGTATTCATTGTGATCAACGAACTGTGTATTGTATACATGGTAATAATTATCTTTTAGAATACGAATTAGATGAAGATAATTCAAATTTAAATTTTATTAAACGAATAAGATTATTTAATCCATCTACTTTTTCACAAGATACAGCTTATCATTTATTAGATGTTACTTGTGATGCGAATTATTTAGTTATTGTTTATTCAGATAATCATGATGAAATACATTTACAAAGTCTTAAGCGACGAACATATGAATTTCATAATGACTTAGTTGTAGATAGCAATTATCCTATTAATCAAAATTATATACGAGTAGAATCAACAAAATACAATAAAAATTTTATTTATCTTAATGGTTCACGAGATTATTTAAAAGAAATTGATTTAGTCAATTACGAAAATGGAAAAGTATCATCCGTTGTACGTCGACATACAAAACCAACAAATCTTTGTTTTCTTAACGATGGTCGATTAGTAATTCTACATGAAGAACCCTACTTCTTATCAGTACATGATTTACATAATCGTCCAGCCATAAATGAATGATAATTTTTTCTTTTATTAATATTTTTTGTCGTTTTTTTTTCTTATAAATTCTATCTGTGATTTTTTTTTTATTATGATTATAAATAAACGATAAATTTGATGAGAAAAAAAATATCGTTGATCATGTATAAATCAATTGACTTGTAATATATGAAAACAATCATTTTCAAAACCATCATATTTTTTATTCAGAAATCTTTTTTTCTTTGAAACAAAATAACGTCTTCCATTTCAAATAAGAAAAATTTCCGAGCGATTACAAATATGTACCGACAAACTTTCTTTATAATGCTTTTCCCACGTGCACACACATTCACGCACACGTGTATCAGCTACAGATTAAAAAAAAAAAAAGAAAAAAAGAAAACAAAACAGGGAACACAATAACCGGAATTACAAAAGATAAACGTGTCGTTTCACAAACTGATCTAAATGACTGATATAATTCTAGCTGTTTTTCTTTCTTAGCCCTTTTCTGTTCTATAAATAAAAACAAACATACTACGAAATAAAAAGAACACAAATAAATAGATGAAAAAGGTTAGTGGAATATATAAATTCAGCTTCTTTCTTTTCTTTGATTACGTTAAAAGATTGTATGTTACTGACAACTTGCTAGAAAGAGTTTTGTAGATGAGAACAAGAAGAAAATTAAAAATAATAGTTAATAAAATAGACATAAAACAAAACATAAACATATAGATTTAAAGAGAATATAAAGTAAACATATTCTGGAAATACACTATTGCGAGTGATCGAATATCATATTAAACGAGGAAAAAAAAACAAATGTTTACTTCATGTTCTCAAAAAATCCAGTAATAGATTGTCATGTTTACAGATCTTCGTGAGATGGTTCTTCTTCTCCTTCACCTTCTTCAGTTTCTTCGGCAGTCTAAAATAATAAATAAGAAACATGACAAGAATTGTAACATTGTTTTTTGAAACTTACTTCTCCTGAAGCGGCTTTTCCATCATCTTGGCCATTTGAATCAATAAACTTAGCAATAGCTTCAACTGTGCGTGCACCATTATAATCAACAGCTACATCTGAATCTTTTGGAAAAAGTCTTAAAAAAAGAAAAGAAATAATTTTTCAAAAATATTTTTTTTGTTTTTGTAACATACTTAATTGTTGGAAAGCTTTGAACTTTAATATCTTCGAGTTCGTTAGCAGTAGCATCCATTTTAGCAATAACAACAGATGAATCATCTTTATATTTTTCACCTAATTGTTCGTAGATTGGTGTTAATTGTTTGCAATGACCGCACCATGGAGCAACAAAAGCAACAAGAACGGTTTTTGTTTTATCACTTGCAACTTCATGGAAATTTTTTCCAACTAAAACTTTAACTGGAGTTTTATCCCAATCTTCTGGAATTTCTTGTGAAAGTAAATGTGGTTTAAGTTTGCCATCGAAGAATGATTCAACGAATTTGGTTAAACCGCTTGATGTGATTTCTGATGATTCAGGTTTGAATTTGCTCATTTCATCTTGTAATGAGATTAAACGAACAGCTGGTACATCGGCAGTTTTAAGACCAAAGAATTCAAAGACACGTTCATTTTCATGATCATCAGAATCGACAACAACGAAAAGTGATTTTCCACGGAAAGCTTTAGCAGCTGTTGAGAATTCTCCATGATGTTTTTCGAAATCGTCACTCTTTTTGCTACCAAAGAAAAGCATATGAACTTTAATATCACCACCAAAGATCTTTTGAGCTGTTTGAGCATTAAAGTCAATAACAAGTGGAAGTTGATTGGCTGTGATAAATTCACGGATTGAACTTTCGCTAATTGATGATGTAAGGTCATTACGGCCTTCATCGAATTTTTTCAAAAGAACAATAGCATCTTCGGTAACTTTAAGTTCTTTGAGGACATCTTTATCAGTTGTAATACCAAATGGAATACCATCAACAGTTTTAGCAACTTGAAGAAATGAAATAGCAGCATCACCTTCAGCATCTTTGAATGCACCAATAACAACAACATCACCAGATTCTTGTAATTTTTTAAGTTCATCAACTGTTTTTAAGTCATCAGCAGCTGGACCAGTTTTCTTTTTCAACCAACTGATGATTTCATCTTTTGTTCGACCACCGGTATATTCAAGTGCTGTACCTTCACTAAAGAATTTCATTGTTGGATAACCACGAACTTCGAATCGTTTTGCAAGATCTGGTTCAACAGTTGCATCAACACTGCCTAATTTAAGATGACTATCAGAAGCGGCTAATTGTTTAGCAGCTTCAGCATAAGCAGGTGTTAAAGCTTTGCAATGACCACACCTATAAATCCATATATGTAAGAGATTAAATATTCATTAAGAAAATATATATTTACCATGGTGCAACGAATTTAACAAGTAAATATTTGTTATTTTTAACGGCATCATCAAATGTATCTTTGGTAAGTGTGAGTACATGGCTTTCATCGACATCTGCTGATGAATCGTGACAACGAATATGTTGGGTTGTTTGGGCAAGAATAACAATAACTGTTACAATTGCTGCTTGCATAAATCCAGGAAACATTTTTATCTACTGTATATAATGTGCACAAATAACACAGCAATCTAAAATACGTGAATAGGAGATAAATATTTCTAAATACGCGGCCTTCTTATTATGGCTAAAAAACAACCGATTTTTATACGCCCCATCATAATATAGAAACACGTCTAATTAATTTAAACCACCCAGAGCGAACCACGAAGACACATCTAATTCTGTAGAATACCGAGTGTCGACGTGTACTGTTCGTGTATAAAACCTATAGGATACGGTAGCGAATCAAATATGTTATCAGAAGAAAATATATTCACTATTTTATTTAGGTAGAGGCACGAAAAATAAAATATATAAATTAAAATGGATGTTGAATAAATTTATTAATATTCATTCAATATTATTTTTATATATGATATTAATAACTAAAAACATATTTTAAGATATATAGCATTCCGATAATTAAGGATTATAATGGGAAAAATAACGAAATGTCATGATTGGAGAAAATTCGATGACTCATTACCTACTACGTGATAGATAGAATAAAATTGAATATTTCTGACGGTAAGTTTTTTGACAGTACATTTAATTATAAATTAAATTTGAATATATTTTATTGTTCTACAAAATTTTAAAAATCAAAATTATTAGTATTTTTAATCCCAACTAATCCTTCGTTATTCTATTGAGGTCGCATGTATAGCATATTATTTCTATTTAAGAAGATTTATCGTATATAATGTTTTTTTTTAAATAAATCCTATATATTTATACCAAATCTCTTTTGAATCAATCATAAAATATCTAAGAATAATTGATTTAATGAAACAAAAAAATTCCTTTTATTATATAATATTTTATATACAGATAACTGTATTCTTTATAGAATAAATACATTAGTCTATTTTGAAATATTGAAAATAAAACTGTAAATAATCACTTCATCTTACATCTTGAATTCAATCATGTCCTTCGCTCGTACTTTTTTGTGGCAAATTGGTTTTGTCCTACTTTGCTCTTAAATACGAAGGTGAAAATATAATTTAATCACAATTGTTATTTTAACATTAGTCATTTCTTATGAGTCAAGAGATGTTTTATTTTCATAGCATTTCGTTTTTTCAATGTCTCTTTACTTTACTTATAGAATATTTTTTTTCTCTCTTTTGCATCATCTTAAAATCTCATCGTCGTTGTCGATGTATTTACCTTTCGCTTTATTCTTTTAGTGTTTGTCCTTTCGTTTTCAGTCAACTATTCAATTGTCTCTTTTTTTTTCAATAAATATTTGAGAAAACAAAATGAAACAAATTTGCCATATAGATACAGTTTTTTTTTACATTTTCTTTCAACATATCGTGCAAGAGAGAAAAAATGCACAGACACACGTATATTCATACTCAAGTACAGCAAAAAAAAGTATATGATAGTGGTAGAGTATCACTTTTCTTTCTCTTCTTTTTTATTATCAGCTTCTAAACAAACATGGCGATATAGAGATAAACGTTTTATATTCATACAGATTCGAAATAAAAGGTAGTTGTTCGTTAAATTTTTTCTAGATAATATATATATATATATATAAATATTTAAATATTCGTATATAATACAAGAAAAAAGATACAATATGACTTCGAAATTACTTTCTGTCTTCTTAATAATTGGTAAGATTGAAATAAATATCTAGACTTTATTTTTTTGTATTGATTCATTTTATAGCTTCTACATTTCTTATCTCATCATCCTATGTAAGATACAAAACATGAAATTTTTTAAATATAAAAAAACTAATTTTATTTAGACACTAAGTCCACCAAGTAATTATACATGGCCTCAAAATAGCAAAAAATTATGTTTTGCTGGTCAATTTGATCTTGTTCTTAATGTTGATTATATTCAAACAACTGGCGTAAAAATCTTCATTTGATTTATTCTTGTAACATTTTCTTTTAATTCTATTCATATCTAGGCAAAAGCTTCAGCAAAAATTCCATTAAATAATAATACATATGAATCATATCGTGTATCATGTTCAGCACCAACAAATGTTCATAAATTAACAGTATCAATGTTAGATGGTTTTACAGAATTTATATTAACTTTTTCTGTTGATACTACTAATGTCACATCATTAACACAGATTTCTGCTTATATTACATTGAATGATAAACAAACATATTTTACAAATTATTCAACTTCCTTAGAAGGTAGATTTGATTATAGGGATGTACCGAGCCCGAGCCTCTCAGACTCAGGCTCGGTCATGGCTCGGGATTAGGTCGTCGAAAGTTGTGCCGAATCATGAGGATGGGTGGGTGTAAGAAACCCACTCCTACATCAATTCTGATACCCGAGCCCCGAGCCCAAGAGGCTCGGTACATGCCTAATTTGATTTGATTTTCATGTTTATTTATTTTTCTTTAAAAAAGGTATGCATAAATTTGAAAAAACTGTATCATTATTTGTTGCTGATCGTGGTAGTTCATATCGATGTAATACAAAATCAACTATTACAGATTTTAATACAGATAAGAATGTAACAATTACATCGATTGAATTAGAAAATTTACGTATTCAATCATTTGCTGATGATTCCAAAGAATTTAATGATTATGCTGTTGGTATGTATTAAAATAAAGAAATGAAAAATTTGATTTTTATATTTATCATTTTAGAAAAAGTTTGTCCGGCTGATGTTGATAAAAATTCTAATTTAATTCCAATTATTGTTGGTGCTTGTCTTGCTGTATTAGTTGTTGTTGTACTTATTGCATATCTCATCGGTCGACGACGTAGTCGTAATGGTTATCAAAGTGTTTAAAATCATTCATTAGCATAGTGAAACGTGACATTTTTCTATTATTTTTCTATTGAAACAACATTGTGCTTAGTCTTTTTTTTTTGTCTTTTTTCTCATTGCATTTGGAATTTTAAAATAATGAGAGAGAAAAAAACATAAATATGATCAATGAGTGAAGCGTTTTTCTTTATGTACAAATCGACTAAACTTTTGTAATATCTGTTCTTTAAAATTATAACTCCTGTATGTATTTAACAAAAAAATAATGAGAACCTTATGAATATATAGAAAAGAAACACATTTTGTTATATCAGTATGATTTTTTTTTGATTGTTGAACAATAAATACTTTCACTGTTCTTTTGTTTGTTTTTAAAATTACCATACATGGAAACGATATCGATCCATACTACGTTGAATACTTTTATAAGCATTTCGAGTAATTGCAATGTCCTTCGGTTTTGTAGTTGGAAAAAGTTTGAAAGTATGATTGAGATGTGGTGGTGTAGATGGCTGTTCAAACTAAATGTATATATATATATATGATGTGTTTTTATTATAGAGAAAGAGGAAATCGAAAGAACTCAATAAATGATAATATAGCAATTGATGCGGAAAACGTTTTTTGAGAAGATTTTTATGAAAAAGAATAGATTGGAAATCTTTATAAATAATATTTTAAATGTTGATATCTACTTACAGGTTGTATATTTTTTGTAATAGGTGATATTGGTGGAGGTGGTTCAGATCTTCGTTGTACTTCTTCAGGACTTCTCACTTCATATAATGAATTTTCTGATTTAACTTTAGAACGACGTGGAGGAGGTGTAGGCGGTTGCCGCTCGATTGATTTTTGTCGAGAAGGAATACGAGGAAGAGTTGATTGCTTTTCGACAGGTTTTCGACGAGGAGGAGGAGTTGGTTCCTTTTGAATAGTTTTCTGTCGAGAAAGTGGACGATATGGTGGTGGTGCCGGAGATAATGGCTTTTCGATGGTTTTGTGTCGAACAGGAGTTTGCTGTCGAGGTTCTTCCTTCTTCGTTGGTGATCTAGATTTTGGTCGAGCTTTCTCTGGAGTAGGAGAACGTTTCGGAGTTACTGCTTTTGGTGTTGGTGATCGGCGTTTTTCTGGAGTAGGAGAACGTTTCGGTGTTACTGCTTTTGGTGTTGGTGATCGGCGTTTCTCTGGAGTGGGAGAACGTTTCGGCGTTACTGCTTTGGGCGTTGGTGATCGGCGTTTCTCTGGAGTAGGAGTACGTTTATGAGTTACTGCTTTGGGTGTTGGTGATCGGCGTTTCTCTGGAGTAGGCGCACGTTTCGGAGCTGTTTCTTTTGGTGTTGGTGATCGACGTTTCTCTGGAGTAGTCGCACGTTTTGGAGATGCTGCTTTTGGTGTTGGAGATCGACGTTTCTCTGGAGTAGTCGCACGTTTATGAGTTGCTGCTTTTGGTGTTGGAGATCGTTGTTTCTCAATAGGTTTCTGTTTAACAACTGGTTCGTGTTTTGATGGTACAGCAACAGGTTCCTCTGGTTTTTTGACTTGTGATGTTGGATTTGTTTTTGGGGCAGGTGGAGATGTACTCTATCAAAAAAAATAAAATATTTAAAATACATAGAGAAATATTTTTCTTTAAAAACTGAAACTTATTTACTTGTTTCTGGGATACAGGTGGAACAGGAGTTTGTTTTTGGTTTGGTGCTTGAGGTGTCATTGGATAATTAACAACATCATAACTTTTCCATTGATCCATAGTTTCATTTGTTTTTGCTTCTGTTTTACGATTAATTTCATCAATCTTTTTATCAAGTTGTGATACTTCAAGTTGTTTCGGTTTTCGACTAACTTTTGGTTGTTCAGTTTTCTCAACAGATGTCGTTGCCTTTTTTAAATCATTCGCTGGTGGCATATCTTGATGATAACGTACTTTATCATTTGAATAAGAACCAGCAGCATTAGAAGCAGGTGCTATTTGACCTTGTGCTCCATTACCATTAGGATTATCTTTTGCAGCAATTTTTCGTTTAGTTAATAAAAGTGCTGCTAGATTTGGTGGCTGAGAACTTGCAGTAACCGATGCCATTTTGATTATTTGAAGGCAAAAGATTTTCTCACTTGTTTATTTGACAATATGTTAGAGTTGGATGAGAATACACAATAACACTTTTTTTTTACTTTTTATTTTAATAATTTATTCAAAGAGGAAAAGGAAATGACAAAAAGATAGTTAAATATAAAAAAAAAAGAAAAATAGGAAGAAAGAAAAAAGTGGAAACAGACAAATGTAACAATGACAACGTTAGTTTGTTTGTGTTTTTGCTGTATCATTTTCTTATATAGGAAGTATAGATGAACACGCTTTTTCTAAATATTTTGCACGTGCTTGAAAGATATGATATTGAACGTTTTCTTTTAATTCATAAAAAACTTTTGATAAATAAAAATTCGAATTATTACATTGACATAATTTTTCAAGAATCGCTTCACAAATAAATTCATCATTGATATAAAAAAATTCACGAAACCATATCAATAAATTATCCAGAATCGTTGAAATCTTTAAACGTGATCCATTTTCTTGTTCGATTAAATTCATATGAATATAATTAAATTTTGATAAATAAAATAAAATAAAAGACCGACATGACTGAGAAACAAAATGTATGTCAAAACGCTGAGCTAAAATTTTCAAGGTTTTTTTAATATATGAAAAATCTTTTTTTTTTGTAAAACATAATCAATGTCATTTACTTAATGACCTACCAAGAATAAGTAACATAGTTACATTTTCATAATTAATTGTACATTGAAATTGTGGATATAAAAATTGAAGTAATTCAATCATATCATTTGATGAAATATCAAGAATTTCAATTGAATTCGTATTTTCATTTTGGAAATATGTTTGAAATACTTTCGATACTGCTGATAAAATACTTTTATCTACATATAATCGTTTATCTAAAGAAAAATTCTAGTTGGAGAAAATTGAAATTCTTTTCTGAATATACTTTGAACAATAAGTGTTAGATCACTAAATGGATGTGATTGAAAGAAATATTGTTCTGATCGATTAATATCAGTATTAGATATCGGTATTTTTTTATTTAATCGTTTTAAAGATTTTGTTGATGTCTTTCGTAGAAGTATTTTTTTATCTGGGTTTAAATAATCATCATGTGTTATTGATGAAGAAATCATTGTATTATTTTTATTAACAGAATAAAGAATTGCGTGAAATTAAAAATGAAGAAAGAAACAAGAAAAGCGCCAGTAATAGTAATAATAGAATAAATTGTTTTTTCTTACATGAGTTTTCTCCGATCTTTAAATGAGAGGAGGAGATGAGGACGCGCAATATTGGCGACTATTCCTCCTGACTCATGTTGTCGTTAAAAATTATTTTTTTTCCCAGTCATGAAGACTATTTCTACACATTTAATTACAAATAATAATGAATTAAATCTATCAAGAATAATAAGAAAATCATATGAAAATTATAATCAAGCTGCTGGTGATATTAATGGAAATGCTACAATAGCTCAAGTAGAACATGAAAGAGATGCATGCGAAGAAGAATTATATAGATTACGTTATGGAATTGAAAATTTATTAGGTAATAATGAACATGGTGATTTTAAAGAACAACAACAAAGATTTAAAAATTTACAAAATCCATTTCGAACAATGATGAATCAGAGAACTAATTCGAATAGTACGTTTGAAGAGAAAGTTATCCAAGCTTTTATAGATATTATTATAGATAAAAAAAATGGGAGTTGGTTAGATCGTTGTTGTTCTGCTTGTTGTCGTCGTCGTTGGAGAAGAAATAAATCTAATAATACGTTTCAATCTTCACGTCAAACACCACGTCATAGGTTTTATGTTGCTCTATCATCAAAGATATGTGGCAATTAGTGATTATGTGTTTTAGTGATTCAGTTGTTTCTACATCACCATCTCCATCTTCGACATCATCACATTATAATGATCCAAATACGAATCATACAAAAAGTAGTTTAAGACAGAATATTAGTAATTTGATCAATCCAAATAAAACGAATACATCCAATTTATTAATATCGAAAGATATAAATGATCCTGCGTATAATTCAGTGGTTGCTAAAATGCTTGAAGCAAAAGCATTGGACTGTCTTTGTTCTGGATATTCTAAGAAAAACATTGAAAAACAAATTACAAAAGAATTATCTAAGTTAAATCAAAGGTTCTTAAAATAATGATAAGTTTTGTAAATCTTTTTCATTTTTTTTACTTTTATAGAGTTGATGAACATCAATGGAACTCAGGAAGTACTACACCATCACCTATGATTAATGAATCATCATCTGTTTCATCCGTATTATCCGATGATAAACCTTTTTATCCTAGTTCTAAAATACCACAACAAATATTATCTCCATCACCTAGTGCTAAATCATCGAATGTAGACAATATGACACCAACAGTAATATCACCAACCAATAGTACACAGAAAATTAAAAGTAAAAACTAAATAATTTTCTTACAATCTATTTAATTCTAAATAAAGGTTCATTAAAATTAAATGATAAAGATAAATCACCTAAAAAAAATTCGAAAGTGTAAGTTCATCAGTCAATATATTATAATTGAATAACAAGTTATATTTATTCTTAGAACTATTGCTCGAAGTAAAACACCAAAATCAAGTAAAATTATACATAAATAAATTGATGAAAATTTAAGATATTCTTTTAGATAAATCTAAAACTACGAAAAAACCATCTTCAAAACAACGCAAAAAATCGACTAGTAAATCAAAAACTCGTAGCAAACCCAATGTGTCAAGTAAAAGTCGAAGTCCATCTAAATCAAAAAAGGTAAAACATCGTTAAACGAAATTAAGATCATCATAGCAGAGCTATTATAAACATATTCTATCTTTTCATTGCAGAAAAATCCATCAAAATCTCCGTCACGAAAACAGAGTAATAGTAAACTAAGTAAGTTTTGTTTTTTATGATAACACATCAATTAAAAAATGTATCTCTCTTAATTAAGAACCAAAGAGTAGTGGAAGTACTCGAAAGAAAAAGACAAAATCAAAATCAAATAATCAAATGAATGATTATTCATCAATTCTATTACCGACATTTATATATCCCCAATCATATCAAGAATTATATCCAGATCGACAAAGATCTTTCAAAGTTTAACTTCCATTAATGTTTTGGTTTCATTTTTTTATAATAACTTGTAAATTGATATTTCAATGTTTTTATTTATTTTTTTACTGTTTATTTTCAAATGTTTTCAGTACTTATTTGTGATATTCAAAAGTTTTAATGAAATTCACGATTAATTAAATATGTGAAATGTAATCAGGTAAACTTTTTGATTATGTCAAAATAATTTTGAAGAAGAAATTAACGAGATTATATAATTGTAATTATTTATTAGTCTGTTTATCTGCGTCATATGATAATTTATTAGCGTATAATAGAAACTGTAACTATGAAAACTTTTATTATTAGTAATCTATTTGGAAAATACTTGACAAATTTAATATTTATAGTTATATGAAAGTCGACATGCAATCTTGACTTGTATTTTATATTAAATAAAAATAAAATAATATCATTTCATTCATCGTCTCTCAATGTACTTGAGTAGAAGTTTCTATTGAACAAAGCATATATAAAAAAAACTTATTTAATATAGATTTATTTTGTATAACAATGAGAACATTGAAAACAACGCTGTTTTAAACTTTAATAAATCTTTCATCATACAAATCTGTTTCGAATTCATTCTATCTATATAAAGATGATATTTACTGTTCTAAAATACATTCAATTGGGGGTTTCGATTGTCTAGGAAAGTGTGAGATTAAAACTGATAGCAAGGTTATTATGAATTCTTAATATATATGGAAGCTATATTCATAATTGTTCTTTTATACTATTTAACAAATAATTATTTCTTTGTATAATAGAAAAATAGGAACATTAATGTTACAAATTAATATATAATGATTTTTTCATATGTTTTCAGCATATGAATAACAGCACTATTACATCGATATTTACAGTAGTATCATGACATATAGATAAAATATAAAATGTTTTCTTCATGACTATATATTATCATTCGATAATCATTTATCGAGACAGAATCTTTATTATTTCGTCAATTCTTATCTAGTCAGTATCATATATTATGTGAACCTTTTTTTAGTTACACATGCTTTTCTTTCTGTACAATAGCTTTTCATAACACATTTATTTCCACATTGTCTTCTATTTGTCTGTATCGAGTATTAGTGGTTAATCATCTTATACTATTTAAAGAAATCGAGGCCTCATGCCAAGGAGAATGGTTAATAGCTGTAAATTCGAATTAGGAAAAGACAGTCACAACTTAATAATAAAATATACTAAAATCGTCATACCGCTGGTACTGTTCTTCTGAAAAGTGATACAGATTACTATCCAAGAAACATATAGCACATAATGCAAATCGAGTACTACGATATTGTTTGATATTTTGTTTAAAAAATAAACGATGTATTAACTTCCAATTATAACTACAAATGAGTAGACAAAAATACAGAAAAAAAACACTGAAGTAATATTTGTGTTCTCTTTGATTTTATTAGATGAGAAAATTTTAATAAGTTTTTTTTTCCATATTATATTCTTGTGATTCCTGTTTATTATAATATGATATTAATATTAGTAATAGAAAGTATGGATCCATGAAATTATGATTTGATTTTCTAATCAGAAAATAAATTTCATTTATGAATAATAATCTTCTCAAAGGATGTATTTATTTAGTCATAATTATATATTTATTTTCGTATAAATATAGTTGATAATATATATTTACTTAGTGCATGTTACCAGAAGTTCATGATGAGAATTATTTTTCAAATTCATAAACTTGTTTTTGAATGAAAATAAAATTATCATTAAGACATGCATTTCTCTTATCCTCATGGGACAATATTTCTCAGGCATTATCTCGAAAATATTGAAAATATAATGGAAAGTTAACTGAGTAATATGTTAACCTACTCTACTTAATATATGAACGAAAGAAATTCACAATAATAGATATCTATGCAAGATTATTTTTTTGTTTTTATCATCATAATTCACAAGATAATAAAAATCAACGAAATTAACTTATAATCAAAAGAAAATCACTAGAAATCAACTTTAATAATTAAGAGAAACGTCTGCAAAATCATAAAATTTAATCAAAATATATAATAAAATATTCATTATATATTTATCAATGAAAAGAAAACTATGTTGATCGATTTAGAATGTTAGTTTAACAGTATGCTGTTCCATTTGAACAATATAATATAGTATTCGAATTTACTTAGTTTATTAATTATGTACGCATGAATACATTCTTTTCTTGTTATCTATCTTTATTTAATGTAGTTCCATTTTCTCTATATTACTTGTATTTATGCAAATAAGAGAAAAAAGTATGTTATTAAACGTAAAAGATTTGCACTTTAGCTCTTTTTCCTTTTTTCTTTCATTTCCATCTTAATTCTATATGAGATCCTCTTCATTCAAGTTCAATAATATGATCCATTAATTGATATATTAAGTTTCTTCCTTTTCTAAAAGAAGAAACTTTATAATTCTTCTTCTTCTTCTTTTTTCTATTGAAGAAAGTATGAATAAGATACTTCCATTTTTATACATATGTTGAAATTTTGAGAGAAAAGAAAATGGATGAATAGTAAAGTAATGTGCATTATCTCAAGTATATCTGACCTTCTTAGGTAGTAAAAGAAAAAGCACCTATTTGTAAAAAAATTATATAATCAGTGAAATGCGCATTTCAAATAACAGGAAACTTGCTTCGATTGTCCTCTCTTAGATAGTGCACTGATAATAGTACTTTGTAAAGCCGGATGATGTTTCCGGTGTGAGTTTCGTTCTTTTCTTGTTGGTTTCTTTTTTTCTTCTTCTTCTTCTTCTCTATCTCGTTTCCTATCAGAATGAAAATCGACAGTTGTGATGCGACACACTCATAGAGTGGTTTATCAACAATGTGTTTACCCACTTGTCCTTTAGTAGTACGTTGTCTTTTCTCGAGAATGATACGAACGAACAAACACTTATATATGTGTAAAGTATTTCTATCAATCTCGGCTAACGATCACGAACATCATCTAAAGATAGTTTCTAGTTGCCAATAGAACTTAAAAAGACACACACACACGCAGAGATACATATACATATATAATTATCGTGTTCACTTGCCGTCGACTAATAAACTTATAGAACTAGTGAAGAAAAAGCAACTACGATCACAAATGAGTTGTAATCAAATAATGATTGATTTTCCTAGAGGCTTTCCTTCATAAATTTATTCTATTTATTTCATGCAGACTATTTCTCATTTATTTTTATCTTTCACGTCGTAACAACGACAATCTATATATATATATATGACAAACATGAAAACTATAGTGGAATACTTAAAAATATCGATTATACCTTTCGGCACCGATCTTTTATATTGGATTTAATTATTCAAGTTTCTTTTTTTGAAAAAATATAAGAAGGAGGAACAGTCTTATATTAAACCTAATGTCTTTGACAGTATTCTTTTTCTTTTTCTTTTCTTGTTCTTCTTTTTCTACTAATCGCTCTTCGATCAAATTTTTCTACTATTTAGGCTAATTACATCACGTACAAGCCTGTTTGCTTGTCTTCTTTTCGCTTATAAGCACCTATGTCTTGGCATGTAAAGGAAAAAGAAAACGAAGTGATGCCTCTTGAGAAATCATACAGATTTTCAGAGAAAAAAAAATGGATAGATAATGGATGAAAGCACTAGAAAAAGGAAGAAACAGACAGCGACAGAGAGAGAGAGAGAGAAAGGGAGGGAAAACGCGAGGAAAAAACAGAAGAAAAGTGTAACGTGCAAATAGACACATGCAGCCATTAAGAATAATATTAATTCATAGAGATAGCGGAAGAAAAAAAAAATTCTCAGTTAGAAACTCATTAAATACTAATGATAACGACAGTGTAAAATTTTGAAAAAGTATGCCAGTTATAATTGGACACATTTCTTTTTTTTTTTATACATTTCATTTGCGTTATAAATTTTTAGCATCTTACATTCTAATTTATTTTTTATTTGTCATTTTTTTTAACACTTCTTTTTAGAATACATACTAATAGAATATTAAATATAATTAAGATATAATTTATTACAATCATGTTTCACTGGTGGATCTTAGAAGCATTGGAAAAGTAAGTTTATTTTAATTGACACTTTCGCGTGATATAATGATTATTATTTAACTAGAAATAATGCATAAAAGAAAGAAAGAAAGAATGAAAGAAATATATATGATAAAATTAATTAAGTACAAAAAAGAAACAAGGGAATTGTTTTCAGTTGAAAACCATTATTCTTTATTTCTTTTTTTTTTAGTCATAATGATTGACAATCTCTAACATCTATATACAAATAGATAATTTAAAAATAGAGCATTTTTTTTAATTTCCGTTTTTTTAAAGAAGAGAATTATCTCAAATCTCAAAAAAATTTGAATATCTTATGCTCATCAATTTCTTGATCTTTTCTTTTGTTTGAGAAATAAATGATGACATATACTGCTGAACTACTATTTCTATTATATACTAATCTAGATTAGGAAGTCGGATTATATACAATAAAATAAAACAATAGAAAGACAATTTATAATCTACTTTTACAGACAATTAACAGAATAACTGAATAGAAAAAGAAATGAGAAATGTTAATCTATCCTTATGGGAAAGATAAGTAGAATTACTTATTAATGTATTTTTTGGAATTTGATTTCAATATTATATTCATCTGTTAAGTTCTACTAATTCGTCTTTGATATTTTATAATGATAATTAGAAATAAAAACGAATATTAAAAGGATTAAAAATATCTAATGATGCTCAACGATATTCTTATATGAATAATACAATACTAAATCATTGAAATGAGTTAAAATTTAAAAAAAAGATCTGATTTGTATCATCAATAAATGAAAGAGTCAATCAAGATTATATCTCATGTCGCTGAATATTTGACTTTAAACTTTTTTTCTTGTCTGATGATTCTATCAATTTTTTTTTCTATACGAACTTTTGATTAAAGATATAATATCATTTTATTTGTTATTCTAGCATGGCAGCTTTCCTATTTGATGCAGCTAATAAAGTAGCTCATCATGGCCATGATGCTGCCTATGATGATGATTTTTATGATCGTTTATCACGTCGTTATTCTGTTATACTTCTTATTATATTTACAGTACTTGTATCAACTAAACAATATGTTGGTGAACCAATAGCTTGTTTTTGTCCAGCACATTTTACAGGTACACATGTTGAATATACAAATAATGTTTGTTGGATATCAAATACATATTTTGTATCATTTGATCGACTTTTACCTAAACATCCTGATCCTAAAACTGAACAATTTATTTATTTTTATCAATATGTACCATTTATTCTTATTGTACAAGCTATACTTTTTTATATTCCATCACTTATATGGTCATCATTAAATTCTAAAAGTGGTTATAATTTAGGTATGCTTGTTTCACATGCACGTATTATTGATACATATACCTCAGAGTCACGTGGAGCATCTGTTCGTTATTTAGCACGTTTTATAGACAAAGCACTTGAATATCATAAACATAAACGTTTAGAATATGTTGATCAATTACGCTCATTAAAATGTTCATCATTATCATCAATCTATGGATTTTTTCTCTTAAATAATCATGTGTCAATGCGTGCTAATCATTTAATGTGGTCATTTTTATTTTCAAAATTTCTCTATTTACTCAATGCGTTTGGACAATTATATTTGCTCAATTTTTTTCTTGGTAATGATTATCATATGTATGGTTTTGCAGTTATTCGAGCTTTATTTACTGGTAATGATGAAAATTGGACTATAACACCAAGATTTCCTCGAGTTACATGGTATGTTTAAATGAAAAAAAAATAACTTGCTTTTCACGACAAAAAACTTATTAATGACGTTAAAATAATCTCAAAATAAATTTAGTGATACTTCGCCGACTCAGAATTATTCTTAACATGTGTAAAATTCTTTTTGAAGCGAAAAGAAAAATGTTCTTATAACTCATTAAAATTGAGTAGCTAGAAATAGATCTGAAGGTTATTCAATACTTTTTTCATTAGAATAGACAAAAAAGAGTTTGAATTATAAATAAGTCTAATCCGATTTTGTTTCTCGAAAATGTTCCTTGTGAAGATCAGTCTAGTCGTATGAATTATTTCTTGAGTTTTTGTCTTTTACTTTACTCATCAGATTGTAATGTTTTTTTATAGAATATATTAAAAACTAATACTAATATTTATCATTGTTGTTGAATTAAGATTCTTATTTTTCAAAAACAATATTTAGACTAATCATTTAATAAAATTGCTAAGAATATCATGTGTTTCAATTGAATTAACAGTAATTACATGTAAATTTGCATAAAGGGAGTTTTTTTTTGTCTAAGCTAATATTTTGTGAATTATATTATAAAATAATAGAGCAAAAAAGAAGAGTTAATCAGTGTCATCTTAGTCTATTGATAAACCGTTCGTACTTGTGATATATTTTGTTTTATGTAAACTGATTCCTTCCCTTGTGTATAAGTACTAGAAGAATAGATATCGTGTTATAAAAGCCTGTCATTCATATTCTTTATAAAAATAGATTTACTTGCCGAGCTTTATCTTATAGGATAATAGAAAGATAAGCAAAACAAAAACATGTCTTGTAGAGATCAAGGCACTATCAAAAATGACGCATGAATTCTATCTATAATATAGAATAGAAAAATATCAAGATTGATCTATAATTTTAATAATGATAGTGATACTATAGTTAATTGAGTACTACTACTACTAGAACTAATGTGTAAAACAAAATTTTCTTTTTATAAAAATATAGAAGACAGATTATGTGATTGTATTCTCAATAAACAAAGTCTTATTATTTTTAGGTGTAATTTTGCTGTAAGAAATTTAGCCGATAATATTCATACATATACAGTTCAATGTAGTTTACCAATAAATTTATTCAATGAAAAAATCTTTTTAATTATATGGTTTTGGCTTTATTTTACAACTTTTTGTACATTATTTGGTTTTCTTTATTGGGCAAGTTCATTACTTTTTCCTCAATTTTATAAATCACATATAACACGTTATCTATCATCAATGAAACGTATAAATATTCATCATTTTCCTCAAAATCCATATCAAGAACAACAACAATTTCGTCATCATCCATATAGTTTTTATCATCATCATAATAATCATCATCATTCAAGTTATCATCGTCGTCATTCCTTTGCTCATTCACATTATGGTGCAGGTGGTAGTAGTCATTATGGTTCAATACATGGTGGTCATAATCATCATGGCATTTTATCATCATTTGCTAGTCGAACATTAAAACCACATTTAGATTTAGTTCGTATGTCACGTCTACGTGAACAATTAACTCTTCCTACAGATAACAATGAACATAATACAGCATCATCAGTTGATGAACAAACTCCTCCATCACCATCAACTCCACAAACAATTCCAGTACCTACAAGTCGTGCATTTTCAGTCTCACAAGATGATGATCGTTTATTAATGAATTTTTTAACACATTATCTTGGTCGAGATGGTATACTAGTTATATATATTCTACAAATGAATACAAATGAAGTTATAACAGGTGAAATAGTGACAGCTTTATATGAATTATTTAAAACCAATACACGATCTAGTACAACAGAATAAAACTTTTTTGTTTTTATTGTTGTTGTTGTTGTTGTTGTTTAATTATTGGAGTATAATGTGATATAAATGTATCTGAAAATAAATGACGTAGTTTGGGATTTTGATCAAGTAAATTTCGTAGAATAGATTGTTCTTGTTTCAAATGAACAAGATTAAAATCAGGAAAAAATCTAAAGAAAGAAAAATCACTTAACACTTGACAATATCTAAAATAAATATACTCAGTATTATTCATTTGTTCTGTTTCAAGATTACGAAATGTTTGAATGATTAGATCAAGATTTGGATTATTAAATAATAATGCTGATATAACTCTTAATGATTGAATTCGATTCAATGTTGTATTAAATTTTAAAACATTTAATAGTGCATAAAACATTGTTGGTATAAAGTCATCATCTCGTACAAGACTATCTATATGAATAATATGAGAAGAAAAAGTTTTCAATGAAATGTTTTTACCATTTTGATCTTCGTTTTCTAAACTTATTCTTTTCATAAGTATATCATTTTTAAATACAGTTTCAATATCATCAGATATCGGCCATGTCGATTCATTTTGATCAATACTTGTATTTAATTGATAGGATGGTTTAATAAAATGTGTATGTTGTAAAAGAGAAGCAAGTTTAAGTGCTGGAAAACCAAGTATTAAATGATAAATTATAACATTTGGTTTAATTCGATCACGAATATCATCGACTACATAACGAACTTGATGTGGTGCAACACAAATAAAAACAATATCACAATTTTCAACAATATGAGCATTATTAAATTTACAAAATGCAACACCAGTTTCAATCATATCAGCTAAAAGAATTTGTTTTGTTTTATTGAAGACGAAACGTTGTTATTTTGTTTTTTTTACATACTTAATAGATCAGCTTGTCGACTTGACTATAAAAAAGAAGAACATTATTCTATGAAATAAATAATAATTATTAAATTTATAAGCAGATTTTTGTTACTTACAAGAAATAATTCTTCTGGATAAACATCTCCATATCGCATTAAAAATTTTGCAAGTAAATGTCCAAGACGTCCAACACCGATAATACCAATTTTAAGACCTATTTCTCGACGTAGTTCAGCCATGAGACGATGACTTCTTTTTTTCATCGGTGCTTCTTTTAATTGATCACCTCCACGTCTAAAAATATATTTATTATCATAAAATAAATGAAACATTTCCTTCGTTTATTTACTTGATACGATTAGCTAGTGTAACAAAATAACAAGCATATGCAATATGTGTTACTGTTAATAAATTTGAACGACGACGTAATTGTGTAAATAAATTGCTAAATCCTCCAGGACATATTTTATCTAATTGAACACTTTCAAGTCCTGATGTTAGGTTACCAGTTGGTGGATCAAAAAGTTCTTTTAAACTCGATGATTGATATGCATCCATAAATAATAATAATAAAAAAGAAAGTATCTAAAATTCCGTTGTTTCTTATTGGATATATGTATTAAAAAAGAAATAATTAATGTAGAAAAGAAAATATAATTATCACACAATGGAAATAAATGGTTAAAATGAGAATATACATCTGACTAATGGGAAAAAATATGATTTCGATTAATCAAAACTAATTTGTTTAACAACAGGTGGTTGTGAAATAGGACAATCGAATTGATAATCATTTGCATAGGGTGCACTTTGCCAAGCTTGACCATAATCTTGTGCCTGTTCTATTCGTGGTAATGGACGACGATATTTATATGGATTCTGTGGTATTTGTCCACGAACATGTTCTTTTGGATGAAGTAAATCCCACATACCTGAGATTGGTTCTTTTTTTCCAGATGAAATAAATTGAGATTGTTGTGTTGGTTTTACCTCAGATTTTTGTTCTTTAATAATAAATGCTCCATGTCGCTATGTTATAAAAAGTAGATGAGAAAAATATATGAATTTTATTTATCAACATACTCTTCCACGAACAGGATAATTTGTGTCACTTCGGCTATTATATTGTTGTTCATATGAGATTCCTTCGACAAGTTGCTGGTTAATTTTTTGAAGATTTTCCGGTTTTAAATCAGTAATAGGTACTAAATTGAATAAAAAATTTCTCATTTTTGTTTTTTTGAAAAATTATTATTATTACCAACTCCAACTGTACGTATATGTAATGGATTACTTGAATAGCGTGTATTTTTCTTTGCATAAGATCCCATTTCTCCAGCAGTAGTAAATGCATTTCGATATGAACTTTCTTGAATTTTTTTCCATTCATCTTGAGTTTTTACTCTTGGTCCATATGTTTCAGATTTTGGTGGTGACCAATCCCACCAATTTCCTTCTTCGTTTTTAACATTATCAGTTTTAATAATACCAAATGGAGCATTAAAACTAGATGCATTTGTATAAACCATATCAACTTTACGTGCAGCATGTGGATTATTTCGTGGTTCTGAGACTTGTGCAGGTAATTGAGTAGGATTTGGTTCTGTATAGAGTGGCGCGGGATGAGAATTACCATACCAAAATGGAATATTTTCATGTTCAGGAATTTTTTCTGAGATTATTCGATAACTATTTGGGCTAAATTTTATTTAGAAAAAAGAAATGAAACTATTATTGTAGTAAAAAACAGTTGAGAGAAATCTTACTTAAATTTTTCTGGGACTTCTTTTTTATGTATAATATCTGGATATGTAATGGTAGACATTTTGGTATATAGGATTTAGTTCTAAAATAAGATGATGTTCATATTGGAAGACTAATATTCTAATAAATGAAATTGAAATTTTCTTTGAATAAGTTATTAAACAAAAACAACACAAAATCTCTTCAGGTTGCAAGATTGCTATGACTCTCTTTTACTAATCTTTTCGATTGTTTTTTTTATTTTCTTGTACAAATTGAATACGCCTCAGATCATAAAGTATTTATTTGTACCACAATGTATCGTATTTTCTAGACTTTACAACATTAGATTTTAAATATAAATATTTATTCGTATCGATTGTCTATCTATTCTAGATTGATCTACTTCAAAAATAATTGCATCGTGTATCCTGAATAAAAAGTATTTATTCAATTCTTTGAAGAGATTTTTTGTCTGAATAATTGAGTCTAAATAAGTAACCTAACTGATTTTTTAAAACGGATCATACTCATGTTACTATATTTAAAATTCATTTGATTAACAAATTCTATTAGCACTTTTTATAATTATAGGAAATTGACTTTGTCAGTGCATGACCTTGATATAAAATATCAATTCTGGAGATTCAGTTTTTGTGATCACTGTTAGTTGGTATTATCATTTATGCACTGTCTCTTTCTCTTCATGACGTCATGTGATATACAAATTTTCTCTTTCTCTTCATGATGTCATGTATATATGTATTCTATCTATTTCTTCTTTCGTTCTACATCAATCCGTATATGTCATCGTATGTTCAAGTATATTCTCGTTCTCTATGTGTCATGTATGTTTTTTCCTACGCTTTCTGGTTGTTCTATCGTCTTCTATATTCTCACATATATAAACCCACTGATTTTCATAATAAAACATATTCTTATGTTTTAACTTAACAATTGGAACATGATCGACTACGTTTTACAATCACTAATATTATATTAATGTTATCTTTAGTTTTACTTATTACTGGTTTTGGTGAATTTATATACTTAAATGAAAGTATATACATATGTTTATGCCGCCAATTCAAGATTCAACAAACTCGTAACGAGCTTTACTTGTAAACATATGTTAAATTAGAATCAATTAACAAAATGTCTCAAGTCAAGCAGAGAAGAAACGTTCGTGCTTCACTGAAATAATAATATTATCATGTTAATTATTCTTTCAGAACGCATATCGATACAAGTTTTTACTAACTAAAGTTACTCATCGATCCCCTATTGCATTCATAACATCATACTATAAATTATTCTATTAAAAACTGAACATACCTTAATTCTCGTCCTATCAAACTAAATTTAACATAACTGTCATTTCAAATGTTTTCTACAGTCAGTTACCATAACAACGAAACAGTGTCGAAGTGCATTAATGCATTATATCATTTTCATATATCTTAAATTTAGAATAAAAATTCTATGATTATTTTAGTTCAGATTAAAATATTAATTTTTAAAATACAATATATTTTTCATCCAATTAAATTCCTTAAGTTTATTGTTACTCTCCCTTGTCTGGGTTAACGTAAGGTCGTGCATGCTTCTAATATGAGTCATTATATTGTAAAAAGAAACTTCCTTTCTACTTCGACATCATTACTCATTTTAAAATTTCGCAAATCTTTTACATTTTCTTATGCAACTGAATTCATATAAAAGCTGAAATTTTCCATTAAAATCATTCTTTTAGATTCTTTCACGTACTTATATTCATTCACTACATAGATACATACAATGACTAATTCTACTGATTTAATGCAATTATATATTTTATTATCATATGAAAAGGTGTGCTTTTATTTAAAAATAAACCCACCAAACTAATATATTGTATTTATTTATTTTTTTCTTCTCCAGTTACAACGTTCAACAATAAGCCAACATCAACGTCCGATAGAAGCTTCATTACGTAATCGTTTATTAGTTTGGCGTTTTTTAAAAAAAATCGAAAATGAGCCAATTACAACGATAAATTATGAACAAGAATTTTTTACAAATAATTCTGATAATAATACTTTAGAAGATGATAATTCCTGGATACTTGATTTAAATACAAATTTTCATGATGATATGGATATTGAAAATGATTTAGTAAATGTTGTAAGTAATAATGAAATAAATAGTATTAATAATTCTACATGTGAAACAATGAATATTGATCAAACATCCGATATAAATCTATTATTAAAACGTGCAATTGGTGCTGAAAGAAGACAAAAACCATTAACAGATAATTTATATTTCAACGAAGATAATAATAATAATGATAATAATACAAATCTTCCTCAGATATCTCAATCAAATACATTTGAAGAAAGTGAACAATTTTTTCATGATCTCTGTGCTGAATTAACAAATACAACAGCAGCACTTGTATCATCATCAACTACAAATATATTAAATTTTTCTTCATCAGCAGAGCAAACACTTATACATTAAAGAAGAAAAATATATATATTGTTTTTTTTAAAGTAACAGACAGTAGTTTAAAAAAAAATATCGTATGTTTTTCTTTTTTTTTTTATTATATGATGATGTCTGTTTTAACACATCGTTCAAGTTTTCTGTTGTTCGAATGATTCTCTGTGTTTAACTTTAATCCGGTCCTCCACTTTTTTCTCTTTTATAATGATGCTGATTTCATAGATTATTAATGATACGTGTAAAACATGTTTAGCTGTTTGTTGACTATTCGTTCTTATTATTTCAGATGCTTTTTTTTTGTCTCTAGGCGGTTTGTTTTTTAATAGAAAAAAAAAGAGGCAATAAATTTTTTTTGTTGTTTTTTTTCTAAAAAAAAATATTCTTTTTTTGTGTTGTTTCTTTTTTTTGTTCTTCCCAGTCCATACATCTTGTGCAGACACATAAGAGAGTTGATCTACGTATTTATTGTAAAACATAAACGTTTTCTTTTTTTTTTTTTTATTATGAAAAACAAGAAATTTTCAAGATTATGAACGTCTAATTTTCATTATTGAAAGTGGTAGAAAGAAGAAAAAAAAATGAAGAACTTTTCTCTTTTTTAAATAGACGACAGCTGTAATATATATACATCGTAGAAATTCTTTAAGCGGAAATATGGTTCCACTTTGGTGCATGATAAAGAGGTGGCTATATTTTTTTCTCATTTATTCGAGAAAAACGATTACATTTTTAAAAGAAAAAAAAAGTTAGTGAGCATAAATATTGACTTAAAAAATGGATGGTATGGATTCTAATGTGCCTGTTGTGAAAGATAATGATGATGATGATCAATTGCCAACACTATCAATAGACAGTTCAACTGACTATTTTTCGGTAACTGTGTCGGATGATGATGATGAAATTCGTCAAGCTCAAACGGCTTTTTCTGAATTAATCGATGAAACATGTTCACATGATTCAACTTCGGAGAAAAATATATTTGAAAATGCACATATTCCACAAGATTGTTTTGGTTTTCTCTTTCGTTCAATTATACCAACACAAGAAACTATTAAAAAAGATTATGATTATGAATTACCATCAAATCTATTTAAATATGAAGATGGTGAAGGCATTAAATACGCTTTTAAAGTTCTTGATCGTCGTACAAATCGTTTAATCTATGAACAGATGCCATCCTATCATAGATATGGTATGAAATTATTATTTAAAGGTCCTGTTCAACGTGAAATATTACATACAAGTACAATAAGAAATTTTTTTGCTCGTGAAACATTACGATTAGGTGAAGCATTTGATGAACCAAAATCACGTAAACATATACCGGCGTTTGTTAAAATGTATCAAATTAATTTGGAAGAATTACTTGAACCAAATATTTCAATGTATTTTACATTTAATGAATTTTTTTATCGAAAATTAAAACCAAATGCAAGAATAATTGATAATTGTGATGATCCAAAAATAATTGTATCAGCTGCTGATTGTCGTTTAATTACATTTGATAATATATCTGAAGCAACACGTGTTTGGATAAAAGGTCATCAATTTTCTCTTCGATATTTATTTGAAGATGAAAATCTAGCAAAAGAATTTGATGGTGGATCAATAGCAATATTTCGTTTAGCACCAGTTGATTATCATCGATTTCATTCGCCAGTTAAAGGTACAATTGGAAATTATATGAAGAAAATAACTGGAACTTATTATACAGTTAATCCAATTGCAATTAAAGAAAATTTAGATGTATTAACAAGAAATCAACGAACAGTTATTACTATTGATAGTGATTGCTTTGATAAAGTTGCTTTTGTAGCTATTGGAGCATTACTTGTTGGTTCAGTTAATTTTACTGTACAACCATATCAAGCAGTTGAAAAAGGCGATGAACTTGGTAAGGAGATCAGGAAAAGGTTGATTAAAAATCCTCCCAGTGACAATGTCGTGATCCTATATATATGAGAGAAAGGAAAGATAACTTTGCATGAGACATAGGAAGGATTTTAAAATGTATATATTGGATAATATCTACATCTTATAAATATATATAAAAATGAATTTTTCTTTGTTTAGGTTATTTTGCTTATGGTGGTAGTACAGTTGCAATTATTTTTAAAGCTGGTATGGTAAAATGGGATGATGATTTACATCATAATTCTAGTAATTCGATGGAAACACTTGTTCGTATGGGTGAGCGTATTGGTCAACGAACGAGTGAAGAACAACGTCAAGAATATTTATCACATCCTTCAAGAGATACTCGAGAAAATTCAACTATTGCAAAACTTTTAAGTTTTTTTCCTCTGACGAATAATACTAAATTTAAATAAAATATTTTTCTCAGTGTTGTTGTCTTTATTGTTTTATTGTGAGAAATATATGATTTGATTTTATTTTGTTCGCAAAAAAAAGAAAAACAAAACAAATACATATATTCTTATCTTTAATTTACAGATTTAAAATATGAATCATGATATTGATAATAATGATGATGATGAGTCACCATGTCAATCATCACCTACACATTTTTTATTTTCAATTGATGAAGAACATGCTTCTTTAAATAAGAATGATGCAAAACGAAATGAAAATTTCAAAACATCTGCATTATATAAATGTCATTCATGTCGAAAAATTCAAGATAATCCAATATTAACTTGTTCAGAATGTGTTAATACTGGTCAATTTTGTTCGTCAAAGCATGAAATACATGCGAATAAGAGACGAGAATTTTTATTAAATATGTTAAATAAAAATGATTATGAAGAATTTCAACAACATTCAAATTCCAAATCAAATCAACTTCCGTAAAAATTCGAAATATATTTTTTTGTAAATAATATATGAAAGTTCTTTTATCTTAGATATTCTGATCGAATGTTTTTATTAAAAAAATTCAATGCAGAAAAACAAATTTTACAATCGAAGTAAGACGCTTGGCTTTAATTATCGAAAATAATTTTTCTTTGTTTTGTATTAGACTTCAAAAAATACAAAATTCATCTATTGAAATTCAACATATGGTTAGAAACATCCTATTTTGTTTCTTTTCATTTAATTTTAATTTATCTTTTAGTCAGAAATAATTCAAATACGAAAACAACGTCTTCATCTTATTCATCATGCTATGAAAAATTTACGGGAACAAATTGAACGAAGTACTTGTGTATATTCGTCTATGTATTAATTCAATTTGTTGTTGTTTTTTTAATTTAGAACAAAAACTTAATAGTGTAACTAAGGATCGTATTGAAGCTACTCGCTCACGAGTTGAAGCAAAAAAACCGGAATTAAATGATATTTCCAAAGCTGTAGAATTAATTAATCAGAAAAATAGAAAAATACGTTATAATCTTACAATACACGAAAATAGATTAAATGAAATTCGTCGAGAACATTTTGATGAATTATACAAATATATATTTCCTATTGAACAAGTTTCAGCAATTGAAGAGTAAACAAACTTTTATTTAATAATAATTCTATTGAAATTTTGTATGTTTTTTTAGAGATGATGCAATAAGAATTAGAAATTTATCAATTGCACAACAAACAACAATTGGTGGAGTGTATGATGAATCAACAGAAAATAATGAAACAGTAAATGTTTCAGATTATAGATATCAAATTGTTAATTCATATTTATCAAAAAATGGAGATTATCAAATTGATAAACGTATGTTTATGCTTTATCTTAACTATTTTGCATTTAATATTCAGTTGAAATAGTTAAAGCCTTGGTAAATACTATGATTCTGTTAGAAACAAAAAAAAAGTATTTTTTGTAATTAAAAATAAGATATTGATGCAATTTTGCGAGCAGTCATGCATTCTTTAAATTGTCACGTATATAAAAATAACTTCGCATTTCTTGTAAATCAAATCATGTAGTATAAGATTCCAGTCATTATTTTCTTTTTACAGTAACTTTTATATTAGAAAATTATTCTGCCGTATTAAAGCTGTACTCTTGCATTCAATATATTTATATCATTTGAAGTTTAGTATTTTAAAAACACAATCTCATCGGCTATTATTAGATGTAAATTACAGGGGTGTGTCGAGAGTGAAACGCGTGGGACGTAATGCCCCAGGTTAAATTTACTGTACAAATTTTATTTGACAAATAGTCAGTCTAATATATTTCTATCTGCTGTATTTCATTAGAGAAAAATGAAATCATCAGTCATTAATTCTTAATGTTCGACGCTTGAAAGATTTTCTTCATTCAAAATATATATTTTAAAATTAGTTGTTTCAATTGCTAATATTGATACAAATATGAACGATCCGGATTCACCACAATCATCACTTTCTCGTGATTTATATTATGTTGTATCAGCTTTATCACACGCTTGTCAATTGATCAATGTTATTGCATCTTATCTTCATATTCATCTTCCATTTCGTTTACATCATATGTAAAATAAGATGATCTACAAATAAACTTATTTCTAAATTTTCTATTTATTAAAATTTAGAAAATTCAATACAGATAAATTATCGATTGATTGTCTTCGTGCTGATATTGCAAAATTAAATACAAATATTATTTTTAGTTGCTTATCACAAGGTATTCCAATTGAATTTACAAATTCAACATATACACTTGAAAATTTACGAACATTACTAAAAGTTGAAAAATATCTTAATCGGTTAGTTTATTTCTATTGTTTTTGTTTTTATTAATTGATTATTTTTTAGACCAAGACCAGTTATCTATGGACAAAATTATATTGATATAATAGAAAGAGATATCAATGAAATAAATCGTACGTTTATTACAGATTATTGGTTTGATGATTATGATGAACATGATGATGAAGAAGAAGTAATAAATATTTTGAATAACAGTGAATGGGAAACCATAGCACATGGTAAATGAAATAATTTTCAAATGATAAATTTAAAAAATGAATTTTTTTTCTAAACAAAAGGTTATTATATACCAGATGATCGATTTTCATCGGATGATGATAATTCATTACCAACAAGTACTAGTCAACAAAATTCATCAATTATGAGCAGTTCAATTGGTTATTTTAGAAATAAAATTTCTTCCATTTTTAATTGATTTGTTCGAAATTTTAAATTATACATATTTTTGCATTTTATTAATTTATATATATATTTATTTGATTTTTCTGTGATATTTTTTTATATTTTATAAAAATAGTTACTCAAGACAATATTAAAAAAGAATTCTAAATTCCTTTTTTTATTTTTTGTTAAAGATAAAATCATGCCATCATCATCATCAGCATCGTCATCTTCATATTTTTTACAAGAAATGTCTTATCCACCTTATTGTATTCAACCATTAAAATCTTGGGGTATGATAGCCGTCGGTGGTGGAGGTGGAACAGCTAAAACTGGTGTAGGTAATGCTGTTGATTTAAAATGGATTTATTTAAATCAATCATCCGATCCAAATAATAGTAAATGTTCAATAGAAAATATTAATAGTTTTTCTCAACATGATAGTGTTATGCGTATGGTTTCATTACGAAAACAAAATGAATATCTTATATTAGCACTTAATCGTCATTTAAAAGTTATTATGCTTAAAGCATCTCATGTTGATCTTAATGATGAATCATTAAAACATTCAGCATCATCAGCATCATTATCAATAAATACTCTGGAAGCAACATCATTATCAAAAGGTATACATCGACGTAAAAATTCTTCATCATCAGATTTAGGAAAGCTCAAACGTCGTTCATCAACAACAGTTCATCGTTATAGTTCAGCAACTGTTGAAGCTGTTGGCAATGAAACATCAACTGTAGTAACCCCATCTAGTCTAACACCAACAATACGTATAAATCCATTGAGTCGAATTGGAAGTACATCATCAATAGTAACAATAAAAAATCTAAACAATATTTATACAGTTCCCATTCAAGAATATGAATATGTTAATGCACTTGTTGTTTGTCCAGCTACACAATCAAAACTTTTTGTCGGTTAGTTCTTGTCTATTAGCTATGAAATTTATTTCTTTTTCTTAGGTGCTAGTGATGGTTCATTAACTATTTATGAAATTATTTGGCCATCAATATCATCATCGGATCGTTTAATACATTTAAATATATTAACATCATTTACAGCACATAATAAAGAAATTGATGATTTAGCTATTGATCCATTTGGAAGATGGTTAATAAGTGTATCACGTGATCATCATGTTCAAATTCGTCAATGTTCACCACCATTTGATAAACATAATGAAATTGATCCATATCAATTTGGAAAAAATAAAACAGTAACTCCTGCCAGACCATTATATCGTATTCGTCATGTTCGTTTTGGTATTGCATCCATATCTTCAAATACTCAATGTTTTCTATATACTAGTCTTATTCCTCAATCCATCACAGATAAATTAAATAGTTATATTGTTCAATGGTATGAAAATAAACAACATAAATTTATTGTTCGATTACGTCGAAGAGTTTCCTATGATTGTATATCTGCAATGGCTGTAAGTAATTGTGGTCAATATGTATCAATTGGTGATTCAATTGGTTGTGTACGAATTTATGAAACAAATCGTTTAATATTATTATATGAACATTGTTCACATACAATATTTGTTACTGATTTAGCATTTATATTTCGTGAAGAAAATTATCTATATGAAACAAGTGTATTAAGTATAAGTGCAGATAAAAATCTCTATGTACATAATATACATCCTATAGAAATAAATCTTTTTTCTAGTTCATTTTTAATTCTTATTGGTCTTTTATTACTCTTTTTATTATTTTCACAAATTCGATTTATATATCAATAATCTATTTTTGTTTTGTTATGAATGTTTTTTAAGTCAGAATCTTATAGAATGAATCTTTTTTTGTGTAAATGTTCTTTTTTTATTAATCTATATCTTTAGATTATGTTTCAATTTATGAAATCCTATCGTTCTTTCTTTCTTTTTCTTCAGTTTTGTTGATAAGCACATCGTGTTAACATCAATATCGTTTCTTTTAATGTCATTTATAAAAGAAAATGAATTTTTTCTTATCATCTTATCATCATTTTAGATATATTCAAATTAACAATGTCAGCTCAAACAGATGTTTTACGAAATAATCTTCATGCTCAACTCGATCGTTTACTTGAACAATTAACTGATTTAGATCAAACCAAAGATGATATGGATGTTGATGAATATAATGAAGCACGACAAGATACAGTTGATCAATTAGAAGATTTTAGTAAATCATTAGAGAAAATGAAAAGTGGAGAAGGTGGTCTATCATTACTTGATGAAGTACAACGAATTCAAAATGTATGTAAAATAAAACTAAAAAAATTATTCTCGATTTCGTTTTTTTTTATCTTTCTAATTCATATAAATAGGCTATTAAATGTGCTATTAGTCAAGCATTTCAAACTCCTGAAGTCATTCGATTTTTTGCAAAGAAACAACCAGTTCAACTACGCAATCGTCTTGCTGAAGTAAAATAAATTTATTTTTGTAAAGACAAAAAAAAACAATTCTATTTTGTTAGATTGAACGAGATACAAAAGTTGGTAAAATGAATGCTGGTGAAGGTGCTCGTCAGAAAAAAGAAATTCTTGATGCTTTAAAAAAACTTGGAGAAACATTAACAGGTGAAGAAGAAATCTATTTAAAACAATATTCTGACAGTGGCAATGCTAATTTTGCAAAAATGAACGATTCATCAGGTAAAACATTTTTAATAAGTTTCATTTCATATTTATTCTTTTTCAATAGATGTTAATGTCAATGCACTATCAGCTGTAGCAGCTAAACAGATAGAAAATGCTCGTGCACCACGATAAAAATGATTGTACTCTTTACTTCAAATTCCTTTTCTACAATACTATGATGTATGTCGTAATCAGATAAATAATTATTTTTGTAATACCATTGATTCACTGTTTTTTTTCTAATTATTTAAAATCTATCAACTATACCAGAATAAATTACTTTCCATTTTCTATTGTCTATTTTAACTATCTTAAAGGTAATGATATGAGTATTAAACAAGGCTAAAATTGAGAGTAAGGTAGAATCTATTTTGAAAATAAGTTCATCGAGATTCAAGTTTTAACTACCAAAATTAATTATATAGAAATTCATTGATTGTTTTCAATCAGTAATTATTTATTATATCATGAATGTATTAAACAATCTATCATATTGAAATAATTTTTAATCTAAAAATCATAAATTAATGTTATTTGTAAAAGTAAAAAATACTATAAAAAAAGGTGCAAAAAACAGATAATATGATTAGAATTAACAAACATCACTGCAAAAAAGTTTTGTATGAATGATTAAAAAGCGAAATTCATATGTACAATTACACAACAAACTCAGACTTCTATGAAATTGATATTAAATTATAAAAAAAACACAAATATTTCAAATAAAAATATTAGATTTCAGTACGACGCGCTTGTTGTTGATGTTGTAATCGTTCATTAGCTATTTCTTTCAATGTTGTTGTTTTCTCATGATCAATATAAACATAAGGTGCTGATGATGATTCTGAACATGAATTTGTTGGATTGATGATACTAGTTCTATTTGATTTATGTTGTTGATGAGAATTAGAAAGTGATATAATAGATCGTCTAGATGATTGTTGAATAGGAAATTGTTTCACTGATTCAATATCTGGTTCTTCTAAACTGATCGGTACTTGCAAGTCTGCTGAAATATCTAGAAATTAAAAGATGTTTTAAAATATAATGAATAGATTATTTTTTTAAATACCTTCATCATCGGTCGAAATTTTTGTTGATTCAGCTTTAAATTCAACATAATTAAGTTTTGGATCGCATCGTTTTTGAACAGGTTGTTTAAGTTTTGCAATAAATTGTCCATTATCTTCATTATTATTATTTTCTTTCTGACAAGGAAGTGTATCAAAAGGTATATAATTTTCTGATAGATGTGGATGAGAATTTCGATATGAAAATGTTGCTCTTGAAGTCAATGAAATAGATGCAGATGATGATGAAGATGACGACGATGATGACGATGACGAAAAAAGAATAGATGATGGCATTCGACGATTTACACCTTGATCTGATTGTGTTCGTCGTCGTCGATGATGATGTAATGTTGATGAAACATTTGTCAATGTAGATGAAGACGATATAATTGTTTCTCGTCGTTGTTGTTCTAATAATTGTTTTGATCTAATGGTTATACGTTGATCTAAACAGTCAACAAGACGACGTGCTTGTTTACAACGAAATGCATAACGTGCTTGACCAAGTGGTGCACGACGACCACATTCCAGAATAAATATTGAACCATCTAAACCAAAACGTTTTATTGTTTCTAATGGAATATGTAAAGATTGTCGATGTTTTTGTCTTATACATAAACTATCATTTGATACTTCAATTTTAGCTGTTGCATGTTTACGACCATATGAATTAATATTATCAACTTTAAATATATCATCATTTGTAGGTATTGATGCATCAACAAGATCAGTTGAAAGACAATTTGATGTATTATTATTACCCATATCTGAAAAATAGAGTAAATTAATATATATTATAAATTGATGGAAAAAAAAAGAGATGATATTCAAAATTATTAAATCTATGAGAATAAATTTGAGATCATCTGATTCGAACAAACACAATCGATAATCTTTATATAGAATACTTTCTATTTATGTTTTTACATTAAATATATAAATAATAACACTGAGAGACGTTTATTTCACAGCAAAGTATTTAATAATACCTCCGCATAAGACTTATTCTTATCTTCTGAAGTGTCAGACAAAAATCTGTATACGAGTCATCGATTACGTTAATAACTTATAATCTCATTTCGAGTTCTATATTATTATATCATTTCACTTATCATTAAGCTTTCGAAGTTTATCTTCGCTTGATGACATATATACTTAGCCAGTCGATTTATCCACACCATATTAATATGCATTATATTGTGATTAATGGTTGTACGGGTGAGAATAGGACCTTAAGAATGCGTACATAATAAAATAATATAAAATTGATGTATCCGATTAATTTTATATACTCATAAATTTTATGACTTAAGTATATATGAACAAACTAGACATATCCTTATTTTTTTGATAAAATATTTTGCTATGACATATAGACATTCAAATATTTAGACTACTTAATCTTTAAATTTTGCTCAAGAAATATAATCTAACTATCATTAAATTGTTAGTAATCTCATTATAGATCTATTATTTAGCATTATTAAATTTCAATCGTATATATTGTAAAAATTAAACGAGTAGTATAAATTTTTAAACTATAGTAATTATCATTAATTTCTACGTTATAAAACGCGATTGATTCTATATATATATATATAACTTTTAAAATAAGAAATCTATTCAATATACGACTACCTTCGATATCGATAAAATACTTAAACAAAATTATGTATAAACTTTCATTTATTCTAAAACTATATGATACGAAGAATTTAATACAAAAAAAACATGCAAACTGACTTCAATGTGCCCTGTTAATATAGATAATTGATAAAGTCCATCAATGTCTAAATCAATGAACCATACGAACCGAGGACTTTTTTTTTGCTTTCCTCTACTCATTTTTTGTCAATCTAAAAAGAAATTAATGAAACTAATTACATGGGTATTCATCAAACTATTTTTTATTACATGAGATAAGATCATCATTGATTTTTTTTTCTTCGTCTTCCCTTGGATATTACGGTTGATGGATAAATGCTGACCAATGTGTTCTGATTCATGGAATATTAGATACGTCAACACACTAATGCATTTCAAATCGATGTGCATGCAGGATATCCTAAGGCAAGATTCATATATTTCCTTGAAAAGAGTCATCCAACAGCGGGAACAAAATAAACCTTGACGAATTCTATCCGATAAACTATTTACTCTTGCTGTACGACTCTATCATCCTAAAGAAAAATTCAAAACACTGCAAAAAAAAGATCCAAAAAAAAACCGTTCACAATATTGAAAAATCTATTATGATTTGCTCAAGAGTTAAGTCTAATTAGAACAGCAAAAGATTTCAACCGAACTCAACAAATCCTATGAATTCTATAATTTATTCATTAATTTGTATGTATATGATTAATCCGAAAATCGCTAATTAAATCCTTTTTTTTATATAAAACTCGAACAGAGTAACAGCCATTGGTTGTTTTTTTTCAGTTAATTAGAGTGAGAAAGAAAAGATGTCGTAATTCTTGAGAATGTGGATGATGGTATAGACTGATGTTGATGTACAAGAATAATAATAAACAGAATAAGGGCATTAACACTCATCCATATGCATATTCAAGGCCAACATCTTTTCCAATATGAAGTTTATGAAATTGAGCGTCAGAACCATTGATCTAGATGCAAATACAAAGTTAATACACAATTTGTACACTTAAAATTTAGATCATTTCTTCTCGTAAATATTTCAGAGTTACATATCTTAAAAATAAAGAAGAAGCCATTGAAAACTATCTCGAAGATATGAATAAGAGTTAGAGATTGATACATCGCTCACCCCCACACCTTCAAGATTTTCTTCAAACTCATATGATAAATCTTGATTATCATCTAATTGATTTATTTTTTCTCGTGTTCCTCATACCAACAAATTATTTAATCATTCCCAAAAATCTGCCATATAAATTCCATACAATCTTAGCGTACTAGACCTGAGATCGATTTTTGAGGACTTTATAATCTCTGATGAGAAGTAGTCTAGTATGGAGAAAATGTTTTCTCTAAGTTACAATAAATATCTCACTATAAAACTAAACATCATATTTCATAGGTTAGTCTTGTTACTGAATCGAATTTTGTCTTTAAAAAAAGAGGATTAATATTAAAAGTGTTTCATCTATGTACCAAATCAAGAATTATTCGTACTTTGTCTATGTTCTGATATTACACACAATCAAACACATCTGAGTCCTTGATATTCGTGATATCAAATTGAATATTAATTTTCACCATTCACAGTCCCTTGCAATGATTCATAGGGTTCTTCGCATATCTCCTGAAATGAATTACTACAAACACCATCACCAATCCTCAAGTAATGTGCCATGATAATCATTTACATAAATGTCATCGTTTTCACTAGCATATGCGAGAAAAACATGATGTTTTCTTGCTATCGACAAGATCTTATTATTATCAAGATTATCAATAGATAACATGATCGATATGAAAATAATCAAAGAGACAAATATTTATATATCAATTGATATGTACAACGATCAATCCGAATAGGATCGTTCTCCAATGAATTATGATTATTTTTATATTTGTAATACTTTGAAAATACTGGAATTTAAAACTGATGATTTTTCCTCTTTAATTATATTAATAATAAAAAAAAGATATAATAAAAATATTATCAAAAAGAAACGTTTCAAAAATCGAGAAAAAGCATATTTTTTAAAGTTTTACATGTCGATAAGAAAGTCTTTGTTTCATCTAAAACATCGGATTAAATATATTTATTAACATAGAGTATGGGTGAGAGATGGATATACCACATACCTACACCCCTTCAATGTTTTTAAAAAATTATATTTAAAGCAGAAGAAAATTAAAGCATATCGCCAATACAGATGTGACATTGTACCAGTTTGACAAACAAAAAAATATTGAAACGTACATATCAATATTTCACTATATATCTCATAAAAATAATGAACTTCAGACAATAAAGTTACAGCAATAAATTATTTCAAAGATTGAACATAGAGTTTTTACTACGTTACCGATTTGATAGTGAAGTTGTAGATGTTTAAACTGGTTTTATCGTATTCACATAAAGCTGAAAGACTTTCAGATAGCTAAAAGTCACCAGTTATTTCTGTCGAAGAGTTTTATAAACTTTCAATGATTTACCAGTAAAAAAAAGAGTGCTGATAGATCCTATAACTTATTACAATCAGTAGATTTGAAACCAACTCATGTCTAATTGAATTAATGTCTTAACAAGTCAGAATCTGATGGTAGCTCAACATTTTCATGAATAATCACCTTTAATTACTTCATTTCTAGAAGACATCACTTTAAATCCAAGCATAAAATCTCTCTACAATTAAATTTTAACTATTCAAGTTGATTGCATCCGATGAAAGAATGAACTTAAATAATCATACAGTTATATATTAATATTTAATGATATAGAGAATATGTTGATAGTAATTGTATCTCTAATAGTTTTCGTATATCTATCAACACGAAATAAAGTTATAGGAAAAGAACTGATATTTATTACTCAAAACTAATATTTAATAGAGAAATTCATATATCGGCTTGTCCACGTAAAATCGTACCTCTGTGGGCGAAACTGGTCTGGACTAATTGTTTACAGTGGAAAAATAGACATGCGAAAAGGTGATTCCGTCACGACACATATTTCTGCGCTGCAAAGGCAGCTTTGAATATTTTTTCTAGGTTTCTTGTTTTTTAGATACTGTATCGTCTAGTCTATCAATCTGCTACAAGTCGCGTTTTCTTATTCCTGCTGTTAAATTGAATTTTGCACTTTTGTGCAATCGGTTAAACATGACGATCCGTTTTGTGTGATTCCGCAACGCGGTATATTTTTGATCGCAAAACACAAACAGCTTTGGTAAACTTAAGAAAAGCTCCCATACTTTTGAAGAGGAATTAAACTCACATAGACTGTATGGAGACTTAGACTTAGTGGTTTCCATATGACCGAGTTATAGAAAGCGCATGAGAAAAAAACGTGATTCCATCACGCTTGGACACGCCGATATATATATATGAAGAATAAATAATGTATCCTGAAATTTAAAAAGTTATGAGAATATATTATTGACGAGTAGTACCACGTCGCGATTTTGCTCGCCTGTGATTATCTGATGCAAGTAATTTTTTTGTTTCATTTTAAAATTTAAACGTACGCGAACCAACTTGAGACTGCAGAAGTATTGTTCGTTCCGCTAAAGTTATAGTATATTGATCAATAAACCATGCAAAATTTTCTTTAATTTCCCCCAGAAGCCATTCATTTGATGTATTTCGTGTATCTAATATTTCAATTTTCGCTTCATACCAAGGTCTAAGTACTTGAGCATTTAATTTTCCAATAGTTTTCTTTTGTGGATAAGTTTGTAGTTCGATTCTTTGCATTGGACTATAATATGATTCAATACGATAGCGTAAATCTTTTTTAGCTTTATCTGAATAAATATTAAACTGCTCAGCTTTGAATACAATAGCCTTCTCTTTTTTGACCACATACTTTTCGAAATCAAAATAGTCAAAATAAGAACGTGGAAATATCTTAACATTTTTTTATACAATATATGAAATGATATAGACTGGCTTGCGCTAATATAATATATTTACAACTGTCAAATAATCGACAGTATAAGATATCATCATTAATCTGTTTTTCTCATTTATATCATATCAGCAACTATAATTCTTTTTGTCTGCCGAATAAAATAATAGTTTATATGGAAATTGCAGATTTTGTTTTAGAATAATTTAAACAGAAGTAATCGATAAGACTTTCTATTTTTGAATGTATACCATATCTTAATCATCTTTCAACTTGATAGTCTCTAGTCTATTATTTCTAAGAAAGAGAAGTATCAGAAAATATTTTCAAAGGAAAAAAACATCTATCTATATATATATATATCTTCGAAGATTTATTCTATCGATGACAGTCACCGTCTTTCACTTGAATTATTCAGGATAGATTAAGAATAGGATTGTTATGACATATTATTGCTTGTTGTCTATTTACAATAAAATGAGAATCAAAAAACATTATTATCACGAAGAAAAAAAGCTCTAAATGTCATTCCGAGTTTCCATTTCTATTGAGATATAGGTCATAATAATGAGATACATGTGCAACTTGATAAAAAGCTATTTTTAGACTGAAACTTGAGTTAATGCAACTTGAAATTTTTTATATACTTCGACATTTATATTCTATTTGAAGTTTAATTATTTTTTCAAGATATTTTATTATTCATTATTCAGTTAAGTAAAAAATACTTAATATATATTTTAATGAGATTTTTATGTTAATAGCAAGTAGCGCTTGTTTATTGATTGGTGAAATTGACATAATTCATAATAGCAAACCTCTTTTTGATCAACCACGTGACGATATAATTAAAAATTAATATCAATTAAATATATTTTTTTTATCATAGATTTTTATTTTCCTAAATATTTCTTCATCAATTAACAAAACATGAAAAAAATTCTTCTTCATTCATAAATCCATAGTCTACCTGTATTCATCCATACTTTTTTTGCGTACTATAAAAAGAAACGACAAGGTCGCGGTTTGATTACTTAAGACAAATATATATATATATACTATCGTTTTATTATTATTTCGTTCGTTCGCTTATTCGTCTAGCAACCAATCAAAAGAAATATTTTTTCAATATCAAAATCCAACCGAAGAAAAGAGCGCCTATATTTATCTTTTCATTGATTTGACTCTTCGAGTTATCAAGGTGTTCTATTTATCTGCTTGTCTCATTCTTTCATTACATCCTTTTACTATTATCATTCACGTGTGTAAGTGAGCGTGCGTGTACGCGTGTATAACATTTAATTAAGTACTTGGTCTTTCGCAATACTCTCTTTTTCTTTCAAATTAATGAAAGAATATGGCAACAAGCGAAGAAACAACAACAAATGTTTTTCCTATGATGCAACGATCAATAAAAAAGCCACCGCGTATTTTGAAAAAAAAAATTGCAAGAAAAAATCTTGCTCATACACATTTTCGTTTTGGTAAGATATTTTATTTTCGAAAAAAATAAATTTATAAAATATTCATGTTTTTTTTATTAGGTGGTAATCGAAAAGATCCACTTAATTTAAATGGACTTATTGAAAAGAAAAAACAATTGACACAAACAACAACATCATCAACAACAATTGACAATGATAATATAAACAATGGTAATGATCGACCGGTTGAAATTTTACTTCAACCTGATATTTTTGATCCTCTTCGTCTTGATACTTCTTCACGTAATGATGAAGATTTAAATAATCTTTATTCTATTCCATCAAATAGTACTACTGAACCATATGCTAATAATCCAAGAAAATATCCAACACGAAAAAAAAATTATGGAGTAAAACGGCGAAGAAATATTCCACCACCACGATATGGAAATTTTCAAGGTTATTATGGTTATCGACAACCAAATCATGATCAACGTTTTCAATATCTTGAACAGAATTGGTTTCATAATAAACAAGTATTAGATGTTGGTAGGTTTAATTATCTAAAAACAAAATCAATCTAAATTAAAAGATAAAATATTCAGATGATGAACAACAATTACACCATCTTTCGACTGAGAAAAATATGCTGATTTAATTTAAACTGATGAATTGATAAATAAAATTTAAATTGACTTTTTTTTTCTTATATTTATTTTTCTAAAGAATATTTTTTTTATTTCTTTAGGATGCCATACAGGTCATGTAACATTCTATGTAGCTGAACATTTTCAACCTACACAAATTGTTGGTGTTGATATTGATCAACAATTAATTCAACGAGCTCGACATCAACTATGGAATCGAGTACAAACGTTTAACAACACAAATAATAACAATAATACTCAAAACAAAGGCTATCCTTTTAACCTGCGCTTTCAGCAGGTGTGCATTAAATTCTTTTTTTTTTCCTCGAATTTAACATATAAACTCATATATATGTTTAGGGATATTAAATTGAACCTTGGATTGAGTCCAAGCGACGAATGCTTTCTGCTGATCGAGCTGAGCCGGAGCGAGCGAGTGAGCAGCCACGAATCTGGTCGACATACATTTAAGTTATTTTTGACTTCATTTACTATGGTGATTATACAGCATTAAACAGGTGAACAGAGAATATTCAATTCTAAAATTTTCCAAGATGAAAAAATAAGAAAGAAAATATAAATTTCGTTACGAGCAGAAAGCATTCGTCGTTCATTTGAATTTTGTTTTTTCTGAATTACATATTGTTCTAAGATTTATATTTTTTTGAATTTTATATTTTAGGGAAATTTTGTGCCTGATAATGATGCAGATTTAGCTAATATTGTTGCAGAATATGATACAATCATTACATTCAGTGTTACAAAATGGATACATTTAAATTTTGGGGATGAAGGTCTTAAACGGTTTTTCAAACGAATCTATCGAACATTATTTCCAGGTGGAAGATTTATACTTGAACCACAACCATGGTCAAGTTATCGACTTAAACGTCGTATGACGGTAAGAGAAAAAAAACACATTTTATATACAACATGATTCTATCTGATTCTGTTTTTTTAGAAAGATCTTACGGAAGTATATAATCGTATAGAATTTAAACCAACAGAATTTGTATCTTATCTGCTTTCGGCTGAAGTCGGTTTCGAAACATGCACTACAATAGCAACACCAGATAATACTCATAAAGGTAAGAATAACTCCATATCATATATATATGTAAATAAATTTATTATTTTTAATAGGATTTCAACGATCGATGTTTTTATTTATCAAACCGTCAAATGTTGTTGACAATTGAGAATGTAAAAATGAACTGAAGATAATAAAATTTGTTTTCTTTCTATGAAATATGTGTTGATGTGTATCTTTCATTTCTTCTGTTTTTTTCTTTTCTTTGTGTCGACAAATTACTCCTGCTGCTGCTCTCTTCCTTTTTCGTTTCTTGATCGATTAGAAATACGGCTATTCGTTGTTTTGTTTCAAAACTGTATATATTTTACTGTTATTTTCATTCTCATATGCGTAGTTCTGCGTAGCAGATGATAAATTTCACGTTATTCTTTTCTTTTTTCGGTTACGTACTTCGTTTTTCTTCTTTTGAAAGAACAGTGTATTGAACTATGTTCAAACATTGTTCCTATGTTTTTTTTTCTTCGTTGTGATATTTGCTGTATAATAATGGATGCAAACATATAGATTAATTCTATTTTCTGTTTTTTTTCTTCGTTCTTTCTTGATCCGCATTTTATTGTACAAGCAGAATCATATAAAAATATGTACGCATGAAAAAGAAAAAAGACGACGGAAAAATCATCTCATTTTAAGATAAAGAAATAAAAGTTATTATTATTTTCTTTTTTTTATGATCAATTTTAATTTTATTCATCGGGGTTCTTTTTTAAATCTCTTTAATAACATTCAAAAAATGGAATGATCGGGGGAGGAACAATGTTTCTTTTATTTATTGGATTTTTTTTCGGATGATCTTTTGAAACTGTTTGCCCAATCACTATAAGCTGGATCGAATAAATTACGTTTTTCTAAATAATTTGACCATGAATCACCAAATGCAGGATCATATAGACTACGACGACTTAAAATTTCTTTAAGTGCGTGAAGTCTAGTAGCAGCTATTGCTTCATCTTGAACATTAGCTTTTTCATTTGTATGTTGTTCTTCAGCATTCTAAATGAAGAAATTGATGTGTCAATCAATAATTCTAATAACAGTCACTTACTACTTGAGAACTATGAACAATGCAAATGAAAAGAAACAGAACAGAAAACAATATTATTAATTGTTGACGAAATGAAGACATTGTTTGCTTAATACTATTAACGAAAGATTTTTTTGTAGATTGATTACCTAAGTAAAACAAGAAAAAAAAATTATGTTTACAAGAAAATTATGAGATAATCAACTATAACTACATCGTTTTCTCTTACTTTGTCTCAAGTGATGAACTATGTGAAGATACTCTTCTCAGAATAAGTTTTTCTTATCTATCTTCTCGTTTTTTTTTTATTTCATTATATACTATCTTTGAACATTCAGAGATAGAAAAAAGAGAGAAAGAGGAGAAGAAAAAAAGAAAAATTTTTTTTTCATAGTATTCACAAGTAGCAAGTAATGAGCTTTCAACAATATGCCTCTGGCTGGTTGTATACTTTCTCTTTGTCTCATAGTGTTGTCATTTACAAAACAAAAATCGCTTTTCTAACATGTCATTGTTGATTATAATCATTTATGAAATATGAAACAAGATCTTATATACGGACTCTATAATCATTCCTGTTTTATTGTAAAACGACTCTCATCACTCATTCAAGCACCAATGAATATCTATACAGAGAATAGCTGCTTCACACAAGTTCTCAATGAATAGTCTTCGACTTCCGTATATACAGAAAACAATTCTATCTAGATTGCCCAAAGCTAATTCTTTTCTCTGAATATTATTAATAAGCAATTTCGTTTTTATTTGTCTTATATTTGGTATCATCAATATTTTTATTCACATATGAATAAGAAAATAAATCTTTGTAATTTTTAATTTAATTTTATTTCGTTTTTTTTTGTTTAACATAAGCAATAATATCTTTTTTGGTAAGAATACCAGTTAAATGTCCTTTATCATTCGTTACTAATATAGTTTGTGCACCAAGTTTTCTACACATATCTATAACTGTTGTTGTTGGTGTATCTAATGTTACTGTTGTTGGTGAACGATTTAATAAGCGATAAATATTTAGTGAATTTGATTGATTTGTTGTACGTGAAAATGATATATGTGGATTCATATTAGATTGTATGTTGATTAATGTTCGTTGTTCGATAGCTAATTGAAGATCACGACGTAGAACAAAACCAATAATTGATGGTTCTTCTCGACTAGAAACAACCGGATAACCATTATATTTGTGTGTACGTATTATAACAGTTAATTCTTCTAATGTTAAACCATCACGTGGTAACATAATTAATTCATTTTTTTCTTCTTTATTTTCAAGTACAGCCACTGCTGTTGTTTGATCAATAAATTCAGTTTTAACATCAAGATATGGATAATTATTTAATTTAATATGTGCATCATAAATACCTTCACCAACTAGTGCATCACCAACAAGTTTAGAAACTAATGCTGCACACATTAATGGAAGGGAATAAGACAGACCACCAGTTAATTCAACCATAATGACAACAAGGGATACTGTCATTCGTGTTACACCACCAAGAAAAGCACACGCACCAATAACAGCATAAAAACCAGGCGCAATACATTGTTCATCTGCTGTACTACATTCATTAGCAAATAAGAAAAAATTTGGCCAATAATAAACAAGAGTTTCAAAAAGAATACCAACAATTCGACCAGTAATTGCACCAAGTGTCATGGAAGGAATAAAGAGACCACTAAATATAAAAGACGATTTTTAAATAAATAAATATTCAAATACAATACAAACCAAGGAACTTTAATGCCAAATGTTATAATAAATAGGCTTGTTTGAGTAACTAAAGCTGAACAAAGTAAAGCCACAGACAACCAAACACCACTAAATAAATTCAAAAATAAATATAGAATATATGTCAAATCTCCATAGCTTGACCTGTCCAAATGTAATAGAATCGTGTTTCTTTTTACTTTCTTCCTTCGATATTTCAATTTATTTAAATCGGTGTTGTCAAGAAATCCGGAAAAGAAAAATCCGGAATAGAAAATCCGGAAAAAACAAATCTGGAAAATTTTACTTGAAGATCATTAATCATAGAAGACACAATAAGTAAAAGATGTGGACATATTAGAGAGAATCTGATAATCTTATTTCTTTGAAGCCATCATGTTGATATATTTCTGTTCCGAATTTTAATTTCCCTGATTTTTCCTTCTTCGGATCTTTGTTTTACGGATTACTTGACATATTCTTTAAATCGAATAGAACTGATATTGTCACAAAATATCTAAGTCGCATTGTTCTGCACATTATAAAAAATGTGCTCATGATCTAACTTCGATTTTTTTCAAGTATTTTGATGAATTTTAACTATAACTTATTATTACATGTACAGTATGCCTTCTTCTTTTTTTATCGTAATCGTAAACCGACTAATTATAACATTCACTTGAGTATACTGATAACTCTTATTACAATAAAATCAGCATTCTATACAGTCAAAAAGATTCAATTTTCTATGTCGGTAAACTATTTTTATCTCTTAATGAAACAAAAATGTCGATTTTTTCATTAGTATTGAATTCTTTACAAAGATAACGATAACCCACCTGGAATGATTGAGTTGGTAACTCATAAATATATGATTTCAATGAAAATAGTGACAGTAATTTATCGATTATGCATCTACTAAAATATTGATTACATCAATATCTACATTATCACTGAACCATCAAATACTGACACTAATATTCACTGACATAGTAACTACATTCAAATAACCTTCATTATTTATTATCAGTTAAGAGGAGTCTGTCAATATTAGATGTTCGAAGACTAACTATTGAAAACTATTCTTATCTGATTAAAATATATATATTATCTTTTAGTAGAAAAAAAATTGAATTACCTTAGTGGTTTTGCACTATCATTTTTTTCATAAGCTGATGTACTATTTCGTTCATAATTACATAAAAAACTTTCATCATCTGATTCACATGATGATACAAGTCGACGAATTAAATCCGACATCGACATACGTGTATATGGATTTGGATATGAAACTAATAATGTAACTAAAGCAACAACAATGACTTCAGTCACTGGATAACGTCCTAAAAGTGTTCTTTTTCTTATTCGACACCAGGCAAGATTTAATTTAATAAATAAAGAACCAAATAGACCACCAAGAATTCCAAGTAAAAGAAATGGTATCATTTCAAAATAAAACCAACGATATCTATTTCCAACATAAAATAAACCAAGATGTTGATTTTCAAATGGTGATAAAACTTTAACCATTAATGATGCTATCATTGCACAAAAAAATGAACGCCATAATGTTTTCAATGGAAAATAATAGGAAACTTCTTCTAAACTAAATAAAACTCCGCCTAAAATAATTAATTAATAGAAATAAATTGATTATTTGTAAGATATTAACTAACCGATTGGTGCACCAAATGCTACAGAAACACCAGCAGCTGCTGCAGCAGAAAGTATTTCACGTTTTTTTGCTTCATTCTGTCCATATTTTGGAAAAAGACGAGCAAAAATATTACCACAACAACAACTACTATGAACAAATGGACCCTAAAATGTAAATAATATTATTCAAAAGAACTAGTTTCATTATATCAACGTTTAATAGATATACCTCTTTTCCAAGTAATAAATTAGCACTAGTACCTAATATCATACCGAGACTTTTAATAAAAAGTGTCCATACACCAAGATATCCACGAATAATAAAACCAGAAAGTATAGTTTTTACTTCCGGTACACCACTACCACATGCATAAGGTGCAAATGTTTTTACAAGTAGAGCACATGATGTTGCAAAAATAAGACCTAATAAAATATTAATATTTCAATTGAAGGAAAAAGAACATTCATTCAAACCGAAGAAAACATAAGCAATATAATTTACAACATATTCAGCTGTAGTTCCACTTGTAATATGAAGAAGATGAGCCCATTCATGCCAATGTACACAACGAATATGTTGATAGTTATCATAGGTCTGATTTGATGCTGTCCACTAAATTATATAATTTTATTTATCGAAAAAAGTTTTCACCGAAAAATCCATACACAACATTGTTCTCGTGAAAGATAAAAAGCTGGAAGACAAATTCCATCTTTTATATTTGTTAACCATACTGCTCCAATATCAACTATAGCAGCAAGAATGCCAATATTAACAGCAATCAATAGTACACAAAACCTAGAAATTTTAAATAATGAGAATAAAAAAATTTTATACAAATAGATAAGATACCATCCAGAAAGTGCATCATGATATGCTAAAAAACGTTTCCATAAAGATTGTTTTCGTTGTTCTGTAATAATTTCATGTCTTAATCGATCACGAGCTTGATCACTTAACCAATCAATTGTTGACCAATCATCATAACGATTACCTTGAGCTGTTGGAATAGTGGTCTATATGAAGATTTTATTTCTGTAATCTTATTTATGAAGAATATATCACTTACAGGTGGTGTATGAAAAAAATCTATTGTTCCTCTTGATTTATCTGCTAGAGATGAAATATCTGTACCGGCATTAACTGCAATATCAACTAATGAATTATCAATAGTAGATTGCTGTGGTTTAGATTGATGTCCTGTCGGTCGTGTTGGTCTTAATATATCACTAATCGATATAAAACTAGGATTTGTTACTGATGAAAGACGGTTTATTGCAGATGATCGCGGAGAGGTAGACTTTTTAGGCGATAGTTTTCGAGTAAGCCAATTTGCTTTATTCTCATCATCCGATGAAGCACTTGTTGCCATTATTTTATTAACACGAACAATTTATTATATAATATTTTTTCTTCCTTGGTTGATGTTGTTGTACTTCTTTGTTATTATTCTATTGTCATTGTTGTCCTCTGTATTTTCTTCTATTGAATATGAATATAAAATATAAAGTAAAGGTAAAAAGAAAAATGAAAGAAGAGAAGTAAATAGATAAAAATAGATGATGTTAAGATGAAAAGAGATACACACTCTCGTTCGTGCACTTTTTACGTAAGAAACAATCAACACATGAAGATGAATTTATACAAGAAAAATCAAATATTATGATAAGTTCGATATATAATCGAAATAAATATATTTTTGTTAGTTTCAGCTGAAATATTTTGAACAAATTATTTTTATCTATATTTTTCTTTTTAATACTTAACGATATATAGTCAACAATAGATAAAAGTGTGTACTTTATAGATTACCCGATAAACATCTTCCTACTATTATCGTATACTAAATTTTTTGCAATCTTTTTCTTTATTTTTTAAACACTACATAATTACATTCTAATATTTATTGTGTTAAGTTATAATTGTCTATATGTGAAAAATGTTGTTAGTATTAGATTCACTATTATTCATTCTAGTTAAAATAATTTTTTTCATTTATGTATCTTTTCTCGTAATAGTATCTCACTTATTGAATTATTAATTTATTTTACTCCTTTATTTTTATAAACCAATATTTGGTATATTATACATTGTACTGCTAACAAATAATGAAGCAATAACTTTCATTTTCTTTTTCTTGCTCAGAGTCGTTGATTGTATATATCATATATGTAAGCAAAGATTTGTTATAAGAATAATTATCTTTTTTTTTCAAATCTTTTTAATTTAACTCTTTTCTAGTTGTTGAAAATCAATATTTGACTTTATAAATTTACAAAATAGATTCGGAGAAAACTATAAAACATCTTCCTATGAAAATGTACGAACAGCAACTAAAAATTAGTACATTTATCAATTAACAAATTAAAATGTTTATTTATGAAAATGAATTATTAATATGTAAAATAGTATTTTGCCATATGATAATCAAATAAATCTTCACTGTTTTTTATTTTATTGATGTTAAACAAGTTTCTCTCTTGTTTTTAATCATCGTCAAAAAATAAATAAAATCTACACAAAAAAATTTTCTTAACTAAGAAAAACTAATTATATTTAACACTTTCATAACCATATTTATCATATTGTTCTCGTTTGAATTTATCTGATAAAATGGCATATGCCTGATTGACTTTTTTAAATAATTCTTCAGCATTTTTATCACCTGGATTTTTATCAGGATGAAGTTCTTTTGCTTTCGTTAAATAAGCACGTTTGATTTCTTTGTCAGTAGCTGTTCGACTAACAGATAATAAGTTATACAAATCCAGTGGCGCTTCTTCTTTTTGTCGTGTACCTGATTCTCTTGTACTAAAAATCAAAATCATTTAATATTAAATAAATTATTGTAAAACAAACCGTTGTTGTTGTTGTTGTTGTTGCTTAGATTGTTGTTGATATTGTTGCTGTTGTTGTCGTTGATATTGTTGTTGATTAGATTGTTGTTGTTGTTGTCTATAAGATTGATATTGTTGTTGGAATGGAGCCGTAAAATCATAAGTAAATTGATATGCATTTGATGAATAGTTGTGCCATTGTTGTTGACTAATTCTTTGTCGATATATTTTAGGATAATTTTTAGCATAAAGACCTACAAGGGGTGCCACAACACAAGCAATTGGAATCGATGTTTTAAATGAAAGTAAAGATGCAAGTGTGATACCAATAGATGGATCAATAAGTGAACCTAAACTAACTATTGCTGCTAAGGCCGCTGGATAAAAACCAACTAATGTAGCTAAGGTGACTTTAGCCATTGAATATTGTCGATCACCTTCTACTTCACCTGTTACACCATTAACTAAACATGTAAAATTTGTTTGTGCACCATACTCATAATTAATAACATAGATTGGATAATATAAAATACGTTCTTTTTTTGTATTTATATCAAAATGAAATGATTCAACTTGATAGTTACTATAATTTGGATACATCTATATATAAATTAAAATAAAATTGAATCTTTTAAAAAAGAAAATTTTAAAAAGAAAAGTACTTGTTGTGCTTGTTGTTTAGATAATTCTTTGATTTCTGGTACAATATTAAGATCCCAACCAATTTGAAATGCAGTATCTTTATCAACAGTCCATTGTTCAATATATTTTTCTTGATTGCTAAGATTAACAATTTGATTATTATAAAAATGAATCTTTAATTTATTTAAATGATATCTATCAAGTGTTTGAGCTGCATATATATTAACATTAGTTAAAGAAATATTATTCATTGTTATAGGAACTGAATACGTTTGTTGACTTGGAGCATAAGTTTTTCCACTCTTAAAATAAAATAGAATATTTAAAAATAAAAGAAAATTAGTTTTTTTTGAAAATGAAAACAAACTGCTCGCATTGTATTTTGTGTAATTTTAAGAGAAGAACTAATTGAACCATAAAGAGATAAATTCCAAAATGGTACGTAACGTTTTGTGATAGTAATAGCATCATCTTTCGTTGATTGAGTCCATCCACCCGGTGCAAACCTCTTTGACGAAAAGAAAATATTTATTTTTATTTAAATTAGATTAAATTATTTTACCACAAAGATTTAAGCCATTGATCAAAATAAAGACGAGCTTGATCTTCATCAAAACTTTCTCGAATTCCTTCATATTTTTTATTTGAAATCAAACGATAAGAAATAACTAATGGACGACAACGTCCAATTAATAATATATTAATTGATCTGTTCATTACTTTTTATGATTTTCTACTACAATAATATAATGTTGAGTTATTCTGTACCATTAACTGTGGTATATAGACTCGCTGCCTATGTTATTATTATAGAACTCAGAGTAAGCATACAATAAGGACATCTATCTATTTCTCTTTTTTCAACTTCTGTTTTAATCTTGAAAGATGAAGTTAAGAAGAAAATAACAGAGATTTGATATAGATGTGCGTGGGTGTAAGTGTGATATGAGTATTATATTCATCACACCCATACCCATACCCATCATCAAATTTATTTACTTTCTAAAATACAATAATTAAAGCTGATCAAACTATTTGACAAGAAACGTTTCGTTGTAAAAAATTGATTTGTTTCAACATATTATTCAGTCATTCATTTTTGACAATTACTTGAAAATGATTGTTGATACATTATTATCACATATGAACATGCTCTTATTCGAATATGTGTGATTGGTAACAGGGAATGATTAATATTCTTCATATTCGCATTTATATTGATACAGTTGTACAAATAATGATCTCTCTTTTATCAATCATCGCTCTTTTTCAATAACCGTCATACAATATGACTTCGAAATATTACTATAGCTCATATATTACTTGGTGAATGATAATTTATTAAGAAATGTGAATGATTAAATAGTTTGATTACATATGAGAAAAGTTATGATTTAATTCAAAAAAAATGTCATTCTGCCTATATCGATTAATAAAGCTCGGCACTATTGACAGAACCACCGTTGTTCCGTCCACCAGTAACTAATATTTTTCCATTTGCTAATGTGGATGCTGCGTGATCAGATCGTGCGACACTCATGTTTGCAGTAGTTGTCCAAGCCCCTGTTGATATATTGTATAATTCAGCACTATTGAGATAAGCAGTATTACCATATCCGCCAGTAACTAATACTGATCCATTTGCTAATATGGATGCTGTGTGATATAATCGTGCGACATTCATGCTTCCGGTAGTTGTCCAAGTACCTGTTGATGGGTTGTACAATTCAGTACTATTGAGATAAATAGCGTCGTTGCGTCCACCGGTAACTAATACTTTTCCATTTGCTAATATGGATGCTGTGTGATAACAACGTGCAGCATTCATGCTTCCTGTAGTTGCCCAAGTACCTGTTGATGGATTGTACAATAGAGCATTAGGGAGAATGGCGCCGTCAGTCTGTCCTCCAGCAACTAATACTGATCCATTCGTCAATGTGGATGCTGTGTGAAGTTGTCGTGTGATACTCATATTTGCTGTAGTTGTCCAAGTCCCTGTCGATGGATTGTACAATTCAGGACTATCGAGAAGAACAATGTTCTGTCCACCAGCAACTAATACTAATCCATTTGTTAATTTGGATGCTGTGTAATATTCTCGTCCGACATTCATGCTTCCGGTAGTTGTCCAAATGCCTGTTGATGGATTGTACAATTCAGCACTATTAAGAACAGCAGTGATGTTGTATCCACCAGCAATTAATACTGATCCATTTGCTAATATGGATGCTGTGTGATAATGTCGTGCAACATTCAGATTTCCTGTAATTGTCCATTCTAGATAATGTAGAAAAGTGAGTAAAAAATATTGCTTTTAAAATAATTTCGAATGTCTCATGCGCTTAAGTCGTCTATCTATTGATGACAGATCAAACGATTTCAAACTTTCAATAAACTTCGCTTTGTTTTTATGTTTAAGATAAGATTGATTATGAAATGTTACATTAAATTAATGAAAAATATGTTATAAACGATTCCACTGGTATTTTTCAAGTTTTAAGTATGCCGCGAACTGACGAGACTCAGTTATTGCTGTAAAACTCAGTTGTGATGAATAATGATCTGATTGTAGGATTTAAGTGAAAGTCATTCTGCATTACTCAACCTAGTGAAAAAAACATGTACTTTCACCATGTCGGACGTGTGCACGCATCAGGATATGATTATGAGTAAGAGAATATAATTTTCGCATCGTTCTCATGAGAAAACTAGTACACCAAGAGTTCATTGATTATGAAAGGTGTTTTTTTGAGTTTGAAGTTGGTATTTCTCAACTCTACACAAATGTGACATAAAACATGAGATTATGTGTTGATGGACATGTCTCATGTCAATATTATGCCAACTAATACTCCAGCGTATATAATTATTCTCCGATCAACTTGAGAGCGGGCAGATGCGAGTAATTATTAAGATAATCAATGAGTTCTGTCGCATGGAAATTCTTTTATCAACAGTATTTTCGTCTGATACTGTTGGACAGGAAAAGAGTGTTTAATACTTAAATGAGTGTAGATCAAATCAGATCATCTAAAACTAACCCTATCTCGACTTATGGTAGAAAATGTTCCCTAATGTTGTCTAAGTAGATGATGATCAACAATAGTTAAAAACAGAACGTTTAGATATGGTCACTTCTAGTAATCATTTTTTGAGTAACTACAAATGATTTAATATAGTACTTACGCGATATTGCTGCTGTTGCTATTGATGATGTTGTTGTGGTTGTTGTTATTGATGTTGACGATGTTGTAGTGGTGGTTGTTGATGTTGTTGTTGTTGTTGTTGTTGTTGATGTTGACGATGTTGTGGTGGTGGTTGTTGTTGTTGATGTTGACAATATTGTTGTGGTTGATGATGTTGTTGTGGTTGTTGATGTTGAAGTTGTTGTTGATGATGTAGTGGATGTGGTTGTTG